ACACTTTGACAGGTTCGAGTTTATGCCGTTCTGATACACCGTTTTAGTTTCCTATCTAAGCACGGTGGCAATATCTAGTGAAAACCTATCATCAGCAGTTTTGTTTCAAAAAGAATTACAGGTTTAAAAATAGTAGTTTTCAGAGGATTTTTAATGTGGTGTTGAAATGTGTGTCCAGTTTTAAACACTAAATAAAAATGAACTTCACCTTTCAAATGCTGGTGGATTTGAGATATGGAGCAATTTAAGAAACAAAGAAACAAATGAACAAAAATCCAGTGTCCCAAGCAGTCACTGTGGAAATGTTTTACTGAAATCAAGGGGACATATTGGCTCTGAACCAGAGATGATCCTTCGTTTAAAAAAAATCCTCCTGTTTGCTGGACAAAAAAACACAGGGCCGGTTTGTCTCACAGATTTACATTCTTTTGTTCTCTCTGGAGGACAGACAGGCTATCTGCAATCCATTGCCACTGTCCCTGCTTCCACATGGACAAGATCCTGTCAAATCCACTCCACCAATCCACAAAGGATTTCCTTCGGTAGCACACATAATGGGATTCTGTGGAGATCAATGCACTCAGAACAGCTTTGCTATCATGCAACAGCAGCAGGGTCTTTGCATCCAGGTAAACGTATTGTATAGTACATTTTTCCTTATTTGTGAAGGCCAGGAGTGTGGTCTTGTATGTCTCATTGGGGCACAGGGTTACATATGATCAAGTAATAATTAACACAGCAGAATCGTTCAGCACTAGAGTCTATCCCAGATTGAAGCATGAGAAGTGTCTGTCTAAAGCCTGGAGATGATTATGTTTCTGAGATCAGTAAACTCATAACTGGAAGAGGAGAAAAATGGAAACCTAAAGAAGTAATATTTGTGCAATACTTCAGGTCCGTACCATTCAAAAGGGCTCTCTTATTTCTAGCACTGGAGAGCAGCTTCAATATCAAATTAACAAATTAAAGAAATCTCCACATTAAAAGAGTACAACCATGCTTTAAAGGGGGGAAAAATCAAAAACAATTTTTTTAGATTTAAAGATGCTAACCTTGAAAACTTCTGAAAAGTGCATGTAACACTGTTATGTCAAGTATTTGATGCATTACAAAATACTAGTTCAGCTCAGAAGTATTTTCCTTTAAAACATGTCAAGCAGCATAAAACTTTAATGTGATAAAAAGTAACATTGGTAAAACTACTGAAATATAAGGATAATGCCTATAAATATCTACTACTGTTGTAGGTATACAAGGTAAATTAATGCTTTTACAGTAAACAAACTGAAAAAGTAAGCATACATTTAAAGAATCTCTGAGGAATCCCATTTCTTGGAATAAAATTCTTTCACTAAGACGAAGAGGGCCACACCAGTTAGTTCAATGGGAACAGCAGGAAAATACTGTAGATTATGGAGTGTTTTTTTAAGTTGGGCTTTAATTTTTAAAATGCTGCTGCCTTAATAATTATTACTTGATGTCACAGACCATGATATAGTAGGAAGCCAGAGAAAGTGTGAAAAGTTAATGTATTTCACTATAATTAAGTAAGCCATGATTGGCTAGGGTAATTCAAGGCTTTCATAGGGCAGTGGGGTGTTGCTTCTGCATCTTCTTCTTTTACCCAGTGCATCTTGGCAATAAAGAGCCCTACCTTGCCAGTGCCACAGAAGATGTGGTTTTGTTTTGGGGTGGTTTGTTTTTTCTTTTGAACAGAACATTTTAAGGAAATTCTAAAAGTAGCACATCTTGTTGAAAGCCATTTAGTGCCAGATATCAGCATATTCAAGTAAAGACCTTTTCATTTACTATAAATAAGAAAAGAGATTAAACAATAATGCTTTAGTGTAGGTAGCCAGATTTTTTTTTTTAAAAAAACTATTCATAAAAGCATTCACCTCCACACCCCAGCCCAATTTTCTTTTAAAGAACAGTACTAACAAAATCGAAGCTCACTTTATTTACTCTTATCAGTACCTGTGTACAAATTGCACATTTATCTTGTGTAAAACCTGGAACATCCTGGTCTTCTCGAACAACAGTAACATAGTTTCTAAGGATTTGCAGGCAAATTGTGTCCAGAACAGCTTATCAAAAGGCCTGTGCAGCACATAGATATGTTTTAAAATAAATATACAGAACAGTTGCTATAATACATTAAAACATTGCACATGGCAAATTTCAAAATATGTCATTCTTTCTATGTATATCTGATCATCACTGGTCACATTTAAAAGAAAGAAAATGAAGACTGGAATATGTTGAGCATTTAAGGCTCAACATACATTTTGAAATATCAGTTCCACACTGAAGTAAAAGTGACAGAATGTGTGAGATCTTGGCAAATATCTTTTACATCAAAATTAGCTTTATTCTGGTCACATCCAGTGAAATACCCAAAGAAGCAGAATATTGTGGGCCCAGGGGGGAGAGGGGGCGCACAGTGCATAAGAAATTACACAGAACACCCACCAGGTTGGAAAAGAAAGGCCACAGTTTTATTGAATACAGTGGAGCACTGGCGTAGCATGGGGACTGAGCCTGCATTGGGAGACCCTCCTGTCACCAGATGAACCCCCCCCCTCAGCCCGCCTGCTGGGGGGGTACAACCACAGAGTGACAAGCCCCTGGAACCATGTGGGCACCAGCCACTGCATGGTTCCCTTATCACTGAAGGCTTCACTCCCCAAGACCCAATAAGGGGGTCCCCAAACCAAGCAAGGCTGGGCACGCAGGCTTTACCTTCCCACAAAAAGGATCTGTCCCAGTGCCCAAACCGCCACAAGAGTGGGGAGGAGACCCTCTACCCCTGTCAGCTCTTCTACACTGCAGCCAACAAAGCAGCTTGTGCTGAAGGCTTTAAAGCCAGATGACCATTCCCCATTCCAACAGGCGGACCTCACCATTCTGAAATAACACTGAGAGCCTGAATGAAATGTCCAGGTGCCTGATCACCTAGGGTTGCCAGTCCTCCGGCCCCCAATTGACCTTTTCGGGCCTAATTCTGGTTTGGGGGTGAGGCTCTGGGTTTTGGGGAAAACTCTATGGTTGAAGCTGCTTTACCATAGAGTTTTGTCAAAAAACCAGAGTGTCACCCCCTGACTGGAAGCAGGCCCTAAAATGCCCAACATTGCTTCTGGAAGGACATCAGGAGACCCCTGCTGGCAACCCTATGATCACCCCCCTACCCCAAGATTCGATTAGCCACATCGCATAAACCAAAACACAAGGAACCTGTAATACTCACAAGCGCAGGGAGGGTGGGTAGGAAAAGCAGTGAGGACTGAAGCTCTTTCCCCTGGTGGCTGGGGGAGGGGGCACAGCAATGCCCACCGGCACTGTATGCATTGCCCTTCCTCTCCAACAGCTGGTCAGCAAGGCACAGACAGTCTACCTACAGGCTCCCTGCTGTGACGGTTCCCACCCTGACCAGCCAGCTGTGTCCCCCCACCACAGGCCACAAAACGCAGCATCAGTTAAGGTCATGCTGTAGTTTCTTTAAAAAGTGCATCCAGATCAGATTGGATTTACATCATAAATATTAAATATGTGGCAAGATATTTAAGGGATTTTTCGTGGAAGGAGAATTCCTCCTTCAGCTAGGGATTTGAGATTATACCATGTTCACCCACTCCAGATGAATAGCATTTCTTCAAACACATCTCACCGTTGTCACTGGAAATTTTAAAAAACCCTAAAAACAAAGGTGAAAAACTAAAAAACAACAACCCCATAATTATAAATAAATACTGAAACTTGACATGATTGGGTTTTGTTCATTAAAAAGGCTTGAATACTTCAGTAAACATACTTTAAATACAATTTTTCTGCAGCTTTCAGTTGGTAATTTGTGCTTAGTTATCATTTCCCATTACTGGTGATATTCCTTGACACTTGAGTAAATCCTATTGAAAGACTGGACTTATTAAAGTTTTGTTTTTGTCTTTACTTTTCCCCCCTCTTGCCTAAAGATTATTATTATCATACATTTAAAAGATCACAGCACACAGCAGCACTTTGAGATAACATTTTGAAATAGTACTAACTAATGAACAGCTATGTTGTACCACATAGTAAGCCAGAAGACTTTTAAAATATGTCATAACTTATGTCTCAGGGACATAAATAGGGAAGCTGTCTGACAGGCTACCTCTTTGGGTGCAATCTACTACAAACTTCTACGGTGCACTCCCCACAGAAGTATATGGGAATTGCTCAGCAGTGTAACTGTACTCCTTGTATACTTGAACGGGGCTTGTGCAGACCAAATGCCTCAAAAATTGCATTCCTCTATTGCCAGTGTATATTATACTTTCCAGTCTCTAACATCTCATACAGGAGATACCCCTAAATGTTTATATAACTTCACTAAAATTATTATATAAATTCACTAAAATCTTACATTATCTTCTCTGTCCTTCCTGATCAGAACGCACATGACTTAGCTACAATTAAATGCATTAAAATGACCCCCTCAGCTGTAGGTTTGCTATCAAAATTAGAGTCAGAATCACATCATGGAGTGAGAGTGTACAATGAAGCTATCCACACTGGCAGCTTTTTCCTCTCTATTCCCCCATGTTACACGCAGCGAGGGCCACCACTGTTGGCTACTTCAAACACGGCCGGGTGTACACTCTGAAGTCGTATCGTGTGAATTGGCCCTCAGTCTTCCTAAACTGAGAACTACCTCTTCAGGTGGCTCATCTCACTCAGTAGCCACAGAACAGTCCAGTTCTGATCCCAAAAGAAAGAAATAGTCTCCAGATTTGCCTGGTCATAGACTGTCTCCAGCTCCAGATTCAAATATGAGACAGCTCACGACCAGCAGAGAAGAAAAAGCATTCAATCTGAACTGGAAAAAAAATGTTTAACTCTGAAAACTTTATATAGGCCTCAGCACGTGAATGATGATATATACAAATGTATACATTTCCATCAGCCTTCCAGCTATAAGACAGTCTGGTAGCTTTTTCTAATGGCCACGAGGTTTAGGACATGTACAATGTTATATTTCCATCCCCCCCCCCCCACAATGGTTTTCCAGAATCCTAATTTTCATTATTTGAAATTACAGGCAGAAAACTCGTGATCAACAACTAAGTGTATGCTTGATTCAGACACGAGTGAGAAATCCTAGACCCAAACTTGCTGGAATCTGGATAGTTTCTAATGCGAGAGATGATGGGTTAAATGGGAAAGTAACAGGGAAGATATGCTTGGCATCCATTAACAACTGAGGAGAATCCTTCCTGTCCCTCATGCGCATCTGCAAAAACAAGAATGGATTACATTAGCATCTCAAATCTTATTTTAAAAAGTTTTTGGAAGTGTTATTTTTGAAAAATAGCCCTTAAAATCATAGCTATCATTTATAATCATCAGTGGATAAAAGAATTAAACATCCGTTTGAGACGAAATATTACAGAAATCTCATTTTCTCAACAAGCAACGACTGAAACATTATTCAATTGTGCCATCTATCTCCTATCACGGCACACTGTACCTGAATGAATACATTCCACACAAAAAAGACTTTGACATTTATTCTGATAAACCAGACCTCAGCTTTCTGAATGTAGGAATATTTTTTTTGGTCTGAAATAAAACTGGAGGCACATTCACTTAACTAGACTTCTCCACTTTCTTAGTTTAGGCAAAAAAATTTTTGGTCTGAATTACAACTGGAGAGACACTTCACTTACATCCTGAAAGAATCAGTGTATTACCTGTCCTCAGGGGGCCCCCCCCCCCCCCGCTGTAGTTCTGCACACGTCACTGACCTAGATATGCCATCTCTGAAGCAAATAATTGTGCTACCTCTCTGCTCTGGGAATGAGAGGATAACGCAACTCATGCGTGATGAAAGGATGCAATAGAATTTCTCTCCCCCAGAAGAGGCCAACTGAAAGAATGCAAGGCCAGAGCAGCAGATCATGCAGAGATACAATGGGCAGCCTCCTCCACAGGTAAATGCTTTGGGAGCACAGGCGCCTTAAAGAATTTAAATTTATTCTGGAGCACTAGCCATTTTGAGCCCAGGGAGAATTCATGCAAATGAAGAGATGGAGCTATAATGCTTGAAGGACATTCAAACCTCCTACTTGCTGGAGCTGGTGTAGCGCAGCAAATAAGAGAATGAGGTGCTATATGGACGATCCCAGTTCAAATTTCATCTCTGCCACGAATTGTGGTCTTAGACAAGCCACTCTCTCTCACAGCCTCATCCCACCATATCCAATTTGTGACTGATAATACGTTATGAGGCTGTTACAAGCAAACATTATTTTCTTGTAATCCTAACCGATTTGCACACTGAAAACAGAATATGTGCTGAGTATTGTGATTTATTATTACTATTCTCAATGGCTAGGGGCACCAAAGGCCAGGACCAGGGTAGCTCCCACTTCAGTGGTGTTTCAAATCTAACCATTTTCCTGCTGTGGAGAAAAGTTGTACTTGAGGATACTGGTATGATAGCAAATAAAATTATGAACTGCACTCCCCCCCCAGGAGCTTACAATACACAACCTCTTCTCATGCACAGCATATTGGCATGTCATATGTATCGTATTCACAAACACGTGGCTAAACACAACATGAATAATTAATCTCAGCATAGATTCAGCAGGAAGCAAATACCTCCATTCACCCCCATCTCCCACTTCACATTTAGGATATTTGCTTTCTCTCACTGGCATCTCTATGCCTAACTACACAAGTAGTATAGTAGAGCTGGCCAACCAGTCTTACCTGTATCGTCCGGATAAAAGACACTGTCACTCTTTCTTCAAACTCATTAACTGGAGTATACAAATTCAAAACTTTGACGATCTGTAAGAAAAACCAAACATTTCTTTCCTTCTTTTGCTGATTCATTGATCCTTGCAATTAACCGTGCACATTTTAAATGCAGTTTTCCCCATGTGTTCTGGTTCAAATATTCCCCCGCCCCCCATTTCATCTATCAGCAACTTCAAGACTTGCCTTGTTACAAGGAGAGAAGAGGGAAGAAGAGTTTTAGATAGATAAAATTAATTTTAACAAGTAAACCCTTTATAACAAAGTTCTCCTGATGACCCTGCTGTCAAAAGACTTCAAGCCCAAACCAAACCACCAGACCAGGACAGGAGTCTTGGGGGGGGGGGGGCTGGCTAAGTGAGACAAACACTAAAAAAGGGGCTGAAGTGCGAGTCCTCACACTTCAGGGCAGTTCTGCCACCAGCCCACTTCTTCTATCTAGACAGCCAGAGACCAAGGGACAAAGTCTCAGGCCCTCCTGGAACTAAAGTCAAGAAAATCTAATTAGCCAGTCAGGTGTAGGGCAAATGATGTAACCTAACCACCAGACGTGTTGTTAAGGTGGCGATCCAACCAATCAGAGGGGTTTGTCAATTAACCAGACATTCTGCAACTGTATTGGGTTTAGCTGAACAAACACATTCTCCCGCCCATGATCACAGGCGTAAGAAGGGCTATTTTTGGGCAGGAACGCACAGGAACGGAGTTCCGGCTGGCTCCGGAGTTGGCCACGCCCAACAGGAACTCATTAGCATAAGAGGCCACACCCAACAGCAGAAACTCATTAGGATTGGCTACATTAGGGGTGTGTGGCCTAACATGCAAAGGAGTTCCTGCTACAAAAAAGCCCTGGGTTTTGACAACAAACAAGGTCAACAGAATAACAAGCAAAAGGTGGGTGTGGCTGGATGACCCCACTTCTGGTAACATGGGGGTGCGGCCTAATGTGCTAACGAGCTGTGCCGTCAGGGGTGTGGCCTAATATGCTAATGCGTTTCTGCTGTTGGGTGTGGCCTATTATGCTAATGCGTTCCTGCTGGGCTTTTTCTACAAAAAGAGCCCTGGGCGTAAGAAGATGGAATGCACTCCCCCCAATCTCATGCCCTTGGAGCTACCAGCCTTAACGCAATGACCGGCAGCTGGGTTACCTCCCATCTCTCTTATCTACATCTCTGAAGCTTCTAAGAGCTTGCTAATGTTTCAGAGGGGAAAAAAACCCTTTCTTTTTCTAGGCCAAGAGCCTGAACCAATGTTAAAACCTGAACAAGAAACTGTGTAAAAAAAACCCCAATTTCCTGACACCTGCCCCGTCCTTAGTACAGCTAAGCATCTGCTGTACACTTGGCCTAACACATTCTCCAAGCAGAAAGAGGAAAAGGTAACAGGAAACAAAAAGAAAAGGCAAGAAATGAAAAAGATCTGAGATGAGAAGAGACGCAGTCAACATGGATGAGGTACAGGGAACTATCTCTTGGTAGTAACAGCATCAAGACCAGTCTTGAACAGTGTTGTATTATATTTCAGCGAGTTCCAGAAAAACAAACCAGAGAGCTTGGAACTCAGGCACTTTATTTCTTTTATAAGGAACCCACTCACTATTTGCAAGGTAGAACATGTCTTCCAAAATCTATCTGAGGCTCAGATTTAGACATGCAGCACAGAAGCCATGAAGATGAACTAGCACCTCTCTACCTATGTACCCCTTTTGAGTTTGGGATAGCAGCCTTGTAGCAGGCCAATAATATAGCAACCAATAATTAAATTGACTATGTCATATGTTTTAGCAGAGACAGCTGGGACTGATGAATTGCTGTTCTTCCGCCGAGAACACACAGATGTGTAGGCCAGGGATCCCCAGTCTTGTTGGACCAATGGATGTTTTTGGAATGCTGAAAACGGATATTGGGCACTGCAACAAAATGGCTGCCACAGGGTGCTGGGTCCAATCACAAGCTATTGGGAGGCTCCACAGCTGTTGGAGGCAGCTGTTTCCAAACAGGTGTTCCTTGCAGACCCAGAGGGAATATCTCATGAGCTCTTCTGATCCTCCTCCTACCCCAATGAAGTAGAGAGAAGCCAGGACTGGTTTTTAGCTTTACGGAAAAGATGGTTTGGGGAAGAAGCAAGTGGGTACCAAGAAACATATCTGCAGGCACCATGGTGCCCACAGGCATCCTGTTCAAGACCACTAGTCGGCTTAAATTTTAGTACATCTCCAACAATGATTTGTTTGCCGGATAACAGTCTAATGGTTTTTGATGGACTCCAAAGTAATCCTAAAAGAATATTTTCCAGTATTAATCTGAGTCTGAAGTTAAATGTGATTGTTGCCACATTTGTTCCCTTTTAGCAATTCAGTTTGGCACTTATGAGATTTTCAATTGAAAAGAAAAATGCAGAAGAGGGTTCGCCGCAAACTTATTTCTGATGACAAGAAACCAGCAATAAGAACCCTAATGGCAAACATACAATTAGCACAGTCAAACTCTGCAGAGCACTTTTTTCCAAATAATGACATATGGAAGGTGGGCTCACCTGCGCAGTAGTTAAGGCATTGCACATCGAACAAATGGCCTCTGCATCTTCATCCGTCTTCTTCTTCACCTGCAACAGCTGGGCTGCCTGAATGAGAGGCTCCAGAGTCTCTTTAGCCCCACTGGTCATCAGGTTTTTGTCACGCAGCCATTCTTCAAGTTGACTTACGTTGTATCTGTGAATTGGGAGGGGCAGAATCTTACAACCATTTTCAGTCAGTCTAAAAGAATTGTATTTCTTGTCTCTGCCCAATCTTCTGTAATTATTGAACAAACCTTTTAGTCAGGCTGTGGTAGCAGCAGCGTATCCCCCCTCCCCAATTCTATCAATGCCTTTAGTGTTGCTGGGAGCAAAACAAAATCTCAAAACAAACCATTATTCCCTCTTGAATCATACGCACATACACACATGCCCTCCCCCTTGGGCATGCATCATGCGTATCCTAGGTCATATGTCTAACTCTTGCCATCTTCCACCGTCAGAAGAGAACAGGTATAATTGCAGGAACTAAGTATTTACTTTGACTAATACCCAACAATGCACACATAGGGTTGTGGGTGGTGCTGCTTATGCACAAGCCATTACACGGATAGAATCATCATTGTGCTGAATATGTGCACCAGCCCGCAAAAAAATAATAATTCCAAAACAGTTCTGAGGCAATTCTGCCCAATTACAATTTACACAAAGAAAGCACCTGATCAGTGTTCCCTCAGAGCTGAGTTAGTGTGAGCTAGCTCACAGTTTTGTAGCCTCCAGCTCACGCATTTTTGTCTTAGCTCAGGAAGGATGGCTCCAGGGCAAACTAATTTATGCAGTAGCCAAATCGCTCACTCACAACTTTGATGCCAGTAGCTCACAAAGTAGAATTTCTGCTCACAAGACTCCACAGCTTAGAGGGAGCATTGCACCTGATTCAGGCAGAAGTCATGAGTATGCCAAGCCATATATCTGAGAGGACTGAAGACATAAGAAGGCATCCTCACCTTATCTGCATTCCTTTGCTCCACGAACACATATCTTTTCGCAGGAGTAGGTTATTGAGGGTCACGGCTCCGATGATATAGAACATCTGCTTGACTACCTGCTTGACCAGCTCTGGATCCATCCCATGTTGACACATGATCGAGTGGAAAGTGTTCAGCTGTCGGATGATAGAGTCCAGTGTGTATGTCCCTTCGTCTGCAATGCTGGAGGTCCTCTTTCGGAGGCCAGTTGGTTTCACCCCCGACACACCTTGGATAGTTTCATGCTCCAGCATTCCTGAAACTGATTTACAGCACTGTTAATTTGGCTATGAAATCCTAACTCCAATGAGAAAATGAGACAACTAGGTTAAAAAAGCAGGGTCTTCTTGAGACACAACAGACTATGTCAAAGGTAACACTTGTAGAATGAGAAGAACAGTGATGGTGGTGCACATATTAATAAACTGACTTTTGCACTGAGCCTAAATGGTAAAATAGTTTTAAAGAGGCCATTACTAAATTTAAGTGACTTTGCCTGGATATCCAGAATGTTTTCACTTAAACCTACTTATAAAGCCAGTCATGAATACAGTATACCACATATTTATTTACTTCATTTATACCCTGCCTTCCTCCTCAACAAGAACCCAAAGCAGTTTACATCCTTCTGCTGTCTTCCATTTTATCCTCACAACCACCCTGTAAGGAAGGTTATGCCAAGAGGGTGGCCCAAGGTTGCCCACAAACTTCCATCCCAGAGTGGAGATTTGAACCTGGGTTCCCAGATCCCAGTCTAACCCAAGAGTCCCCAACCTTTTTGAGCCTATGGGCATCACTGGAACTCTGACACTGCATGGTGGGTGCAGCCACAAAGTGGCTGCCATGAAGTGGCTACTGCAAGAGGTGGAGCCAACTACAAAATGACTGCCCCAGCTTACCTTAAGTCACAGAGTGAAGATCCTTGTGCTGCCGAGGTGGCTGCTGCCAAAGCAGTATTTTTAAAAATCCGCAGAGCCAATCAAATCTCCAGTGGCCAATCAGAAGCCTGCCTGGGCAAAAGCCCCACCCACTTTCTAAAAACACTTGATGGGCACCAAAAAAGGTGTCAGTAGGCACCCATGTTGTGGACCCCTGCTCTAACCACTACATTACTCTCAGTGTACTTAAGACACACCAATTGTATCCACTGTAACCCATCTACCAATTTTTGATTCACTCCCACTAAGAAACAGTAGAGAAGAATCTGGGCTGGATGTATTCAGCAACATGTGTTTTCTCCAGATCTGTTCCTCTCTTCTCTGAGAACAAACAGTAATGACTGCCTGCTTTTAGTCAGGAGCAGCGCCTCTTCCCCACCCTGGAAAAACTTTGGCAGTCTAGTGGTAAGTTCTGATGCTGGAGTTCTATTAGTCTCCTCTTTTAGTACCCTCAAATGAACAACAGTTCTATTGCTACCCTTTCTAACCCTTTCTTGTATAGAATAAATCAGTCAACATTTTGAGTCAGGTTTCGACCGTGCTGTTTAAGGAAAAAACACACACATCACATGTATGTCTTGGAAAGAAATATTCTTCTGCAAACCAGATTGGAAATTGTCCAAGAAAGTTAAAGACATGAAAGTAAACAGGAGATGACATTAACAGATAATTCATAAACAGCTAGATTAGAAAAGGAAAATCCTAGCATCTGTTGCTGTTTTTTAAAAAAATTATTCCCCATTGTGCCTTACCAATCATTGGCTGCAGAATATTTTCTAACACCCTGACAAGCTGCTGGTAGATCTGAATGGCTAAGTCACTCAGTACTTGTCTGTACTCAGCAAGGTCGAAATTGGTGAAGCAGTGTTCATTCTGACGAGTTGTGTTGTGCTTCATAAATCCCTGAATGCACAAGAGACAAAATGCAAACTTCAGTGTATTGTTGCATATTTCCATCTATAAACCCCACATGCCTATGGTGGGTGAAGTGTCTGAACACAGAAAATGTATTTTAAAAGGCAAATAAAGACAACTTCCTGTAGGCCAAATGATCAGCCACCAAATGCCAGAGTAGCCTTTGGAAAATGTCCCCCTTTCTGCATGCAAGCCAAATTGTGCCTGAACCCTGGGGACACTTTAAAAGGAAGCTCCAGTGCAGTCATCCAGAGGAAAGGGAAAAGTGGAAGAAAAGAGGAGGAAGGATAAACTTGCCTCTTCACCACTGTACTGCTTCAAACAGTGTAGAAAACGGCAGGTGTTCGATAGCCAGAAGGACACAGTTTCAAAATCATCACCCCTTTTCTGGAACCAATAAAGAAATAAGCACTGTTTACATCAAAAGACAACCTGAAGTAAAATAGAGTACACATAACTCTATAGTTGCTGTTTTACATTGTTCTGGACTTCTGGATGATGTTTCCTGCTTCATACAGCCTTGACCCCAGCCTGTGCAACTAATGAATATTAAACTGACAAATAAACGACAGAGTAGTAAACCCCCCACCATGGAGCTGAAGTAACACAGGGAACCTTCTCTGTATCTAGGTTAACCTGTCAATAATGAGTACTGATACCCAGAATAATCTGAGGAATCTGTTAGGCAAAACTATAACAAATGCGCAGAAAAAAGCTGGCCACCTGGGGAGAGACACCCTTTGCTCTTCCAGACTCATGTGCACTTTCTGGGCAAGGGCAAGTCTCTTTCTCTACAAGACTGTTGCATGGAAAGAAAAGGGAACTCCACCTGTTGCTATTATCATCCATTACTGAAACATGCTTTGGTTATGGCGGCTTAGAAAAAGAGAAGAATGCTATCTAGATGCTATCAACATGCTGCCTCAGGGACAAAAAATGTGGTTTTATTACATGAGTTGTTAAACATATACATTCCCTAATTCCAACAACTCAAACGGCAACAGAGTTTATGTGGAGTTCTAGAGCAGACTGAAGAAACCTGTAAAATCAAACCTCATATCCAAGTCGAGTAAAAAAAGAAAGAAGTCCGTCCCTCCCTAGATAGAATGAACATCCTTTAACAGACATCCGTTTTTTAACCCTAACCCTAACTCCCCATATGGAAAGGCTTTGCTCATGTTCACTGAGAGAGGCTGAAACCACAGAGCACATATTTTTCAGCTGCCCATATCATAAGGAAGCATGAGGTGAGATTATTACCCCATTATTAGACGAAATCCTTGGTCTCACTGAAAAAACTAGACCTGATTATCTTCTAAGAACCCCAAGTTTACCTACTAGGTAGCTAGATTTTGTTTGGTGATACTGAAGTCTTGGAAAATATATTGTAATTAGATTTCAAATTTTAAATTGTTTTTAATCATTTTTATCTGGTATACTGTAAACTCCGAATTTTTAATTGTAAAATTGTGTATATGATTGGTCAAATGATCATAAAATAGAACGAACAAATGGCCCCCAGTTAAGATCAGCCTAAACCCAAATTGTGTTTTCTTTTGAGAGTTCCTGTTCTGTCACCGATCGGAGCACACACACACACCTGCGAACTTATTGTGCAAGAGGCGTTATGGAAATAAAGCAGTGGCTTTTAACTAATGTAATACTGATTAATGTAATAAAAAACAAATAATCCGACCTTCAGAATTTTTTTGATGCCATTAATTGTGGAAGTCAGCAAAGACCTGACTTTTTGATCGTCATTCAGGTAATCGGCATGGCGGACACACATAAACAAAATATATGCCGGCAGACCTGGGATGAGGTTGACTGCCACCCCACGTGGCTTCAAATCTGAAAGAGAAGACAAACACAAAAATTCAAAGGACCTCTGCAGAGTTTAACAAGGTTACGTCTCTTCTTGGGCTTACTGATCCAGAATGATCTGCACCCACTACAAAATGGTTTAAAGTTACAGAAGGCACCTAGTAGACATTCCGAGCAACTGGTACTAGGAGTTAAAGTTTCTTAATGAGGTTTGTTTCAGGTGGGCAGCCGTGTAAGTCCGTAGTTAGAAGAACAAGTCCAGTAGCAATTTGAAGACCAACAGAATTTTCCAGCTTTCATGTATCAAAGCCTTGCTTCGTCAGAAGTGACAATTAATGAAATTGTTTTTCTTTCCTCTAACATTAGATAAATGGGACATAACAAAGAGCAACATATTTATCTGCAACATCCTGCAAGGCATTTAACAGAAAGCATTCTTACCTAAAATAAGGTTTTTGACAAGCTTTGGCTCATCCTCTTTCTTATATTCCAACATTCCTTGAAAATCCTTTTCTTTCCTTGGAATATTAACAGGATGGATCGGCTCATCAATTATTTGTCCAGGCGAAATGTTCTCCATCTGGCCAACTTCATCAAGAGAGGGAGAAAAATAAAAGCTTTAAAACCCAGTGCAATTAAAATTTAACTTCTGATTAAGAAGTTTGGTGCTGTATTATTGGGATTTTGCTGGTTTAACCGAGATGATGTCAAGACACACTATCTAACAAACATATCTACAAGGTGGGAGGGGCCCTGGTTCAGTGGCAGAGCATCTGCTTGGCATGCAGAAGGTCCCAGATTCAATCCTCAGCATCTCCACTTGAAAGGATCAGATAGTATGTGATGTGAAAAGACTTCTGCCTGAGACCCTGGAGAGCTGCTGCCAGTCTTAAGAGATGACACTGATGGACTGATTCTCTGTAAGGCAGTTTCATGTGTCCCTGTGTATTCCTCTTGAAAGAGTAGACAAGTCCCTTCAGGTCATTTCTAACTGTAACTCCCACATCATTCCTAAAGAAGTTATGGAAACTGAATCTTTCAGGCTGCACTGCAAATCAGGAAGACGGGAGCAGTGTAGTGGTAAACTGAGTACATCCACTCTTAGAGAAAGTCAACACAGGTGTGTGGAAGAGAACTTGAAAGAGGGTCAAACAAGCCCACGCTTTAGATCTCTAGACTAAAAATCCCAGCATAACCCTATTTACATGCAGTATAAACCAGCCCAAAAGGTAATTTTGAAAATAACGAAAAGCTGAATAATTTGAGTGAATGCAAATTAGCAGAACAAGTGCATGTACAAATATAACTTTCTACATTAATATATTTTTAAAAACCCTCCTCCCTCTGTATATAGAGTCCCTTTTGAAAAAATACTGAAAATGAAAATTTGTTTCACTGAGGCATGCTAAGGGAATATCCTCAGCAATGTGGCCAAAAGCATATTCAGTATGCTGAACAACTGAAAACTTACCTTGTCTTCTAGCTTTGTGTCAATGCAGAATGCTAGATATAATTTCACACTCCCTACAAAGAACTGCTAGTGTTAGCCCACAGGATATCAGACAAGTCTGCTTAAATTTTTCAGAGCCCTATGCAGTTCAAAAACTGTTCTGTACATTGCCTGAATTCTTACATTGCATGAGGACTGAAGGTGACCAAAACAGTGCCTGTGCTTCGAAGCTACATTTAGTGTGGGCAAACAGAAGGCAGGAGCTGAATCCAGGACACTCCCTGCGGCTGTTTAACTAAGTGAAAGGTCGTAACGCAAATAGCAAGAGAGCAGCCTTTTGTGTTCCTCCTACAGATGAAGTCCGTGGTTTGTATGTGTCACTTCCTCTGAGGGATAAATATAAGATCAGGTGAAATGGGAGAGGATACTTAAGTATGAACTAAGCGGGGAGCTGTCTTCATCTAGTTGAATTGAAAAGTAGTGGCCGCTTTGAGAAGAGTATTAAGTCTTCCTTGTACAGTAAATATTACCTCTGGCAGACAGTCTCACAGGATCAAGCCATTTACTGAGATTAATAAACCAGGATGTCACTCCCCCCCCCTTATGCGGGCATTTATTAAAGCACTTATTGTTCTAGGCAGGGCCCAAAAGATCAACCATGCCCACTGGCATTCTTAACTCCATTATGGTGCAGTGGGAATTCATTTGTTGACAGAATTGCAGCCTGCATTCTCAAATATGCATGCAAAAATGGAAACAGAATTCCATCCGGAATTAAATTCTTTAAAAAGAGACTTTGTTCACCTGGAATCAGTTTGATACTCACTTGCTAACTATTCTTCCAATATATGATCATTTCAATCAAAACACAACTTGATACTGAAAAATCAGCATGATTCCAAAATATATAACAGTCTGTATCTTGCACCAAAATGATTAAGCGCAGCAGAAAACGTTCTAACAGGAAAACAGACCTAGGAATCTTGCTCTTCTGCACATAAATCCAAATTCCCTTTCAACACAGAACAAAACCCATATTGGCTGAAAAATACTTCAAAATCTTGAGAAATGCTTCTACTATAAAGGAAGTTATTTTGCTATCCCCCTTAGCTGAGAGATATTTGGGCCCACTGCCAGTTCTGCTTTAAATTATCAGGTGAAAAAAGCATCTCCTTCTTCTCAGGTTAATATTTATCATCTTATATTATTTTTTAGATTTTGTACTCACATCTTAAGCTGCTAATTTACCATCCTTTTTGTTTTCTCACCTTTTTAATTATCAACCTGATTGTGGCTATTGGAGTTTTTATTTGTGCGTGTTTTAATACTGTCTGTGTTGGAAGCTGCCCCAACAGCATTTTTGGCTGATGGTTTAAAAATAAATAAGTAAAGGACCATAAAGGAGTGAGAACCACAGAGTTTCTCTGGCAGCCATAAAAAAGGAAGAGAGTTACGAGATAAACCCCCTTTCCATCCTCTCCCTGCCTGAAAAGGCCTCCTGTGTGGTAGTCCTGTGCAGCGGAAGGTCTTTTCCCAAAGATAGCATCACTGCAAAATACAGTAAGGTTCAATGTCTGCCCGGTGCAGCTGGAGCAACAGGATCGGGTACCCCTTTTATACTAGCACTGGGACTAGCACCATGGGCTTTGAAGTTTTGTCTTAATCTGGGATGGCTATTGTTCAAGAAAGCCATAAGTAAAAGGATTAATGTTCTGAATTCTGATGCCCCACACTTTTGTCTTTCAAGAGAAAGGAGTACATTCTTACTAGCCAGATGTCCTCCTAAAGTACTTGCTCTAACAGAAAAAAAACATGAATTTCTGCTCTCATTCAGCTACTTTGTCCTTGCCTTTCAGCCTATTATGCCCCCTCCCTTTCAACATACCAGCATTTACAACCATTTTTATAATGCTTTGCGAGTACACAACTTTAGTACTTCTTTTCAAGTATGGCATCTAGTTGTGACCATCTGAAGACTCTATGCCTCAGGGACAGTAAAGTAAGACAGTAAAACACTCCTGATCACGCTAAAAGGCCGTACCTTCAAGTTCATCGATCTTCTTGGCAAATACTTTGAGCTGCTTTTTCAGCTTGCGGACCGTCTTGTCCTGTTTTTCAAGCTGTTCCATTAAATCCTACACGATAAACATAAAAGAAAGGGGGTTAGATATTGAAACTGCCGTCATATGTGCAATATGCAAAAAACAGAACAGTTTGGTTAGTGCTAGAAGAAGAACTGAGTGCAGCTGAAAGGTAACGGGCACCATCTGGCTGAGGTTTGCAAGCCTGCACAATGCCTAGAACATCAGACATTGTAAAGAGCATCTTGAAATACATGCAGCACAATGGAGACAAAACTCTTCCGCAGAGACAGCTTACGTATCCCATACCCAACCTCACCGTGTGGTGTCACTCACAGGTTCAGAGAAAATGCAAATTTGCTAGTTATTGTCTACCTGTGCCTTTAAGGTGCCTCTGGACTCACATTTTATTCTGCCGCTAAAGACTAACGTGGTGACTTATCTGGAATTATCACTAGAATTCAGTTCTAAATGTTTCACCTTTAAAGCAACAACATAGAAAGAGTCCTGGTGGATAGAGCAAGAAACAGCATATTGTTTCTCAAGAGCAACCAGAGAGATGCTGCTGGAAAGCCTACAACCAAGGCAACATCTATCCATGACTTTAGGTTCCATCCCACCAGCAACTGGCTACCTTTGAAAACTAAGGTTCTCTTTTTAGCCATCATGGAAGACCCACCTGGAACAAATTTCTCTAGCCCCCTTTTAAATCCAGCAACCGCCACCATAATTTATGGTAATGAATGTTTATCGAAGTACGAATCTGAAAACATAGAAGACTCCTAATTTCAAATCTTTTATTCTAAATGTTAACTTCATGTGCCAAAGGGTTAGCCGGGAGTCTGCTTCAATCGTGCTGCGGTGTACCAAACGCACAAGTTGCCATTAGTAACAAGTGTACACTGACACAGACAAAGACACTGACACAACTGACACAACAAAAAGCTCTGGGGGGAGGAGGATATAGTGACGTTCTCTGAAAAGAGTTTCCTGGAGAGTGAACAAAGCAGCCAGCTCTTCAGTTAGCGCTTCGGAAGTAGCAAAGAGAGAGAGAGAGGCTGTGCACTGTGTACATACAATCATCCGTTTGTAAAGCGAAATCCGGTACGATTGATACTTCATAGGGTCATCTGCATATAACTCCTCATAATACTGAAAAAACAGGCAAAGCATGGGTTCTTCCCATTCTTTGAGGCCCTAATATTTCAGCAAAACTGCTCAAGAAAAAGCAAGTGCAACTACATAGACTTTAAGGCAAACCAGACTTCGATGGTTCTTTCCCCTTATAGAGCAAGGATGCAAAATTCGTAGCCTGCAGATATTAACAGCAGGCAAATAATATAAAACGTGTAGCTTTTAAAATATATTTCAAAACCAGAGGGCAGCTAAAGCAATTCAGAACACATGCATGCTTTTTTAAACTTCAGAACTGGTTTGGTCAGCAGTATATTGCTTCAGTGCAGGGTCACATTGGTAAATATCTGAATCACATCACAGAGAAAGAGGGAGAAAGCTACAGCTGACTCCTGTGGAAAGGGTTTGGCTGGAAAGATTACTTCCCTTCCAAAATGTTTTGCGTGGTTTGGCAACATCAAAAAAGCCCTCAGCCCCTCAGCTATAAGTATCCCTTTTGGCAGCCATTTGAAAAAATGTAATACTCACAATAAACATAATCAACTGCGGCACTTAATGGGATCTGATCAGTTATGTTGCATAATAGTCAATGCTACAGCCAACGGCTGAATTTGATGAGTGGACATAAACACTGGTTTTTATGGGGTCAGATCTCAGGAAAGTGTCATGAGAAACCTCTGCAGCACGGAAATGCAATAAAGCCAACACTCTTAAACCATAGATCCAGGTGGGTAGCTCCGAAGCGGGGGTTTACCTGCCCCCCCTGCCCCCACTTGTCGTGGCGAATATGAGGGACTGACTCAATTCACACATCCTGCAAAACTCTGGGTTTCTTTAAACTATGTATTTATTTATTACGACATTAATATCCCGCCTTTCCCTGTAGTTCAAGGTGGCTTGCGGTAATCGTTAAAAACATTTTCAGTTTAAAAACCCACGAAAGCTTATACTCAGAATTAAACTTCGTTGGTCTTAAAGGAGCCGCTGGACTCAAAATTTGCTCTACTCTTAAACCATGTATTGCCTTTCCATGCCGCACAGGTTTCCTTGTTGGTCTTAAAGGAGCCGCTGGACTCAAAATTTGCTCTACTCTTAAACCATGTATGAGCAACCTACTCAAGGAAGAGGTTGGTCTGCTTGGAAGGAAAGCATAATACATCTCCCAAGCCTTGCCTTGGCACACGGCTTGGATGGGGTCAGGGTAGGAACCTGGCCAAGGGGAATAAACTAATCTCCTGCCAACAATAGAATGCCTGGCCAAGGTGTGGCTTCCCAATCCATACAAATACAGCCTATTCCCTCCCCCAAATAGCTCTTTTTGTAAATTGGAAGGTGTAGCAATGGGGGGTGCGGGAATACCAGAGTGATTTTTAAACACTTGATACTTTTTTTCTGAAGCCTGCTGTACTACTGACATTATTAGACAATCCTGAAAAGGGTATGTTAATAACTCCAGTGTTAACCAGTCAAGAGCAGCATTTAGAGAACACTTTAAATGTCAAGTATACTAACCAGAAAGTTACGGGGGAGAAAGTGCTTTTTGACTTGGAAAGTTAAATCTCTCCACTCTTTCTTTTTTGAAGATTTTATCTTTTCTTACATTTTGTTTATTTAGATCTAGCTTAGTTTATGAGCCCTGTGAGAAACCAATCCCTTTATTTTGTTTACAGAGTAAAAGAAGCTATCATACATGTAAATAAATCAGTCTTTGTTTAAACAGAACCACAGCAACTTTGGAGATTTTTGGCTGAAGTCAAATGCACCTATTTTCTATTGAGATCCTCATTTGGGTGTCTCACTGCTCTGTCCTAACACAAAACTTCCACTGCCTAGCAACCCGAAGCCTCCTGAACCACTACAAGCTTCCCCAAGTGATCCTTCTGCGTGTGTGCACAGCTGTTTCTTATTCTTGTGTAGAATAAGTTTTAGTCACGCTTTCTCTTGCAGAGCTGCTGCATTTTCCTAGCATTCAAAGCACCTTATTCTTTTTGGATGGTAGGAAAATGCAATGCTTGTAAGCAAGCCATGCTGCTTCCTACAGCACTGCCATTTGGGGAAGGTTTCCCTCCAGGTCTTCAGAAGATGAGCTTGCTGTACAGCTCAAGTATCTCTTTTTAAAAGAAGCAGATACCTGCTAGGCTACCCCCTTGCTCCCATGAGATTCCATGGACACTTTCCTTTTTGGCTTTTCTTGGGCTTTGCTTTTCAGAAGCAGCTAAAACAGTCTGGCCATCCTGGCAAAAAAGGCTCTATCTATACAGCAGTAAGCTAATCCCCTTCGATTACATGCATTTTGTACAACTGTCATTGCTAAAGGGAAAATAGTCTAGAAAGGCCCTCGGGCTTCTGAGACAGTGAGAATCTAAACAATGCAAGCCTTGAGAACAGATGTCTTCAAAGCTATAAGTTCCTGGATCCTGCTTGGGTGATGGCAACAGTGCCTTGGTATGTGTCCTCTAGCACATGTGCCAGAGACAGATGGGTTTCCCCCTAAGAAACCTGTGCAAACAGGACTTCCTGTTGGGCTCTTCAACACGCTTTACACCGCTTTAACATTCGGCTCACCAAGTTTTCGTTAGTCAGGCGGGTGATCTCATGCTGCAGACTGGCCTCTATCCGAGCTTCAGGGGGCAGCTGCAGGTTCTGGGCCAACAGCTGCTGCTGGCGGTTGTTCTCCTCCTTCAGACCCTGAATCTCACCACGGAGGGCTTCCAGTTCGTTGTCGTGGCTCCTCTTCTGGGTCTGCAGTTGAGATTCCAGGAGCCTACAGGGACAAAGGGCGTTTGGGGGGAAGCGGAGAGGGAAGGGGAGATATGGAAGAAGGACAGACATTTTGTTAAGAACACACACTGCAAATCCCCACCAAAGGTCTGAAATGTCAGTTGCTGTTCAAAGATGTATAGCTGCTGAATGGCATGGAAAAAGAGTGAAAAATAGAGTGCTCTTTAAACCCTTTTAAGTGCCTCAAACTCCAATGGTCTATCAATGTGGTATCACACACAGTTAGAGTTGAACCTGCTTGATATTGACTTGGCTTCACCTTGGTTTAAGGGCTCTCTGCTACACAGAAGTAAACAGGTTTAACATGGCTGGAGCTAAACAAAGCCGTTTGATATGCACAGGTTTAACATGGCTGGAGCTATCCAAAATTATGCAAAGTAAGGCAGTCCACTTTAGGCAAAGTATCTGGAGTAGAGTTACAGAACAGCAAATTATCAATCATTTTTTTTTTGGGGGGGGGTTCACCACTACAGGAAGGGGTGCATTTGGATTTTCTACCAGCGTCTTGGGCCACCTCTGGTCCCTAGACCTTAGGCACTGGTTAATTAGTCCAGCCCTCAAAACTGTCTGTGTGTTGAAGAAAAGGAACAGCTGCACAGGCCAATCAATTGTTTAAGTGAAGGCCCCTGCTAAGACTATGAAAAAGAAAGCTTTCTCTAGTATTAACTATGGTTAGAGAGAAAGAGACAAACAACTACTGACCAGATCCTTAAAAAAGAACAGAACAGATCCCCCCCCCCCAACAGAGCAATATTACTGGGGAGTCAAAGGCAAGATCCAGAATCAGGAATCTGGTTATGCTGCTGATTCGTGATGTTGCCTCAGGCGTGTGAACAAATGATTCATTCTCCATATGTGAACTCTGGGAGACGAGGGAAGAAATGAAGGATACCAAAGCACTGTGACTGATACTAGCATGGTGCCTCCGAATTCTGCCCGCATGCCTCATATCTACTAAGGTGTTCTAGCAAACACACTTCTAGGGTTTAAATATACCTAAGCGCACAAGCTAAGAGCTACATTGACCAAGCCTCGGAAGGTAAAGATGAATCCTTTACCTTCTGTTTCTCTGCCACCTGCTCTAGAATCTAGTGCTTCTAGAACGCTGGGGCAAGAAGCAAAAGCTGTTCAGAGCCACCTTTCCCTCTGACCCTTCTCTGCAGCATAACAGCACTACTCCCCAGTTAGCTTCTGGCAGACTTACGAAAAGAAGATGTTGTTAATGTTCAGGGGTTGTGTTTTTTTTGTTAGCAGCACAATGAAAGGAAAGACACAAGGTTAAGAAGTATTTGTTACAAAGGAACGTATATTGGTTAATGTCACTTTGCCAAAAGCGCACAAGAAGCTACCCTTGCAAAGTGGCTGACTGATGAAGTATCTAACTGCAATTATAGGAATGGGTATTTGGGGAAGGTTTAGGACTTCATGGAACTAATGAATGCATTCAAAGGCTACATGTGTATGTCAGGTGTGGGCAGACTATGTTGCCGTCATTTGAATAAAGTTCCTGCACCAACAGGTACAGTTTCTTGAAATGATATTACTACTATTTCCCCTTTTCCCAGACAGCTATGCATAAGGATGTTTGCTTTAAAGCAGGCAAGTTAATAAACCCCAAATTAGAAAGCATTCAGGGTTTTTTTTTTTTTTTTTTTTTAAATGTGTGTGTGTGTGTGTGCGTGCACCTGGAAGTCATGGCGACCTCTGGTGACTAACCACTACTGGGGGCCTGGGGGTTATTCAGAGAGGTGGCTGAATAAAGCCTGCCCTCACCTCTTGCCTCTGGTATTTCAAGGAGGTCTCTCATCCAAGTACTTGCCTGAGTCGACCTTGCTTAACTTCCAAGATCAGGCTTGCCTGGGCTATCCAAATCAGGGCAGAAAGCATTGTTTTTGTCAGGTGTTTTATACACCTGTTTCCAGGATTTTGACTGATAGTTCCAATCAGAGTTTGGTTTTTGTTTGTTTTGTTTTGCATAAATCAACTTGGATTAAACTGCACTGGTAAACTGCTTGCCTGATCGTTGATCGTAAAAAATGAAAAACATTGAATTAAATATTTGTAAAGTGCTAATGTATAAGAAATGCTATGGCTAAAGCAGTTCTGCAGCAGGTTAGTCACAGTGGAGAGAGAGAGATTGCAAAACCAATAAGACCCATCCTGAGGAATTTTGTAACCTGTTGGCTTGTTTTAGCCCTTCATATACCAGCCACAGCTCTCCGTCCTCATTCAGCAAGTGACAGTCCTGAAGAGATGATCTTGTTCCAAGCAAAATGGTTTTAAAAAGGCAAAAAACACAAAAAGGGATAACGTGGTGATGAGGATTAGGATGATACAACAAGTGAATGAAAGAAGGAAACAATGCAAGCCAACACAGTTTTGCAAAAAGAATGGGGGGGGGGGGAGATCTTCAATATTCGCAGCTATAAACCCTACGCTGCCTAAATTACCCCTTTGTTTGTGCTGGGGAAGATATACATCTTACAGAAAAGAGCAGCTCCCTTTTAATATAGCCACCGAGATGAGATCTTGGACACTGAATGTTAACCAAACCTGTGCAAATGCGATCCTTTTCTTTTTTAGTGGCTGTATCGCTTAGGGAGGTCTGCAGATCAGACAATAAAGCTGACTGAATCATGCTTAAATTAAATTAAATGAGATTATGATGTTATAATTTGTCTGAGCTGTTCAATTTGCAGGCTGTGGTTCAGAGCAGAGACTTCCTTCTTCCAGATCCATTCAACCCTAGAACCACTTATGCAAATTACAAGCACGGGACTAGAGTGCAGCTCGGAGAGAACAGCAGGGAGAAGGGCAAGTGTGGAAAGGACGCACTTCAGCTACTGTTGGGTAAGACAGATGTCACAAACACAGCTGCATGGCCTATCTGGAAGCATCCTTCAAAACAAAACTAATTCCTCTTCAAGAGGAAGGTCTGAAAACACTGGGTGCTGCAGATTTACAGTAAAAGCTGGCTGTGCCCAATGCTGATTGGCTGGCTCCTCTTCATGTCACAAGAAACCCTTCTCCCCAAACCTCAGAGCAGTTTTGTCCCTTTAAAAAAAAAAAGTTTCCTTTTTCTGCCAATAAATAAAGCAATGAGTGAACGGATAAATGTACGAGCATACAGGCTGTGTCTTAAAGATTAAAACATGGCCAGCCTGCCTGACATCTGACAGAGCCAGCAGGCATTTTGCTGGTCTGTCATTTTACAAATGTGAATTTGGGTTCACCCCACAGTTGAGGGATACATTTGTGAGTGCTCTTTTTGTACCATGTCTGTCTCCATGCTCCAATTGTATGTAAAAAGACAAGGATTTTTAAAAGAGGATACTTTGAATTGGAATAATATGTAATCCTGAATTAGCACCCTATAATGTTGAAGAAGACTATTTAATTAGATTCTTCTCTAGGATGTCATTGGGAGATTACAGCTTCTGGAGGGGAAGGGACTGAAGGGAAAAAAATGTAAAAAGACAGAATGTTGAGTTCAAATGTGGGCTATGTACACACAAGCTGAAATCCAGACAAGATGAAGCTTCGTTGTTTACATGGTGGTAATACAGTTTGCCAAGCACCATCAGTAAAAAGAAAAAACTATCTATGGTCCCCGTCACACAGGCCGGAAAAGGCGGGGGGGGGGAGAGCGTGGCTGTTTGCCCCGGAGCAAAATAACGCGCGGCCGCCCGATCACACGTCCCATCGAGGTTCCGTGGTTAGGGGGTGAGGTGCCGATCACACGGCTATCCAGCGGCGCGGCAAAGAAGCGGCGCGGCGCGATCATAGCAGCAATCACTAGGCGCCGCTCCCATGGCAAACGGGTGTTCGTTTTACCGCAGTTTGTGCACATGTGCCATTGGGTGCTTTTGCACATCCTGCGGAGATTTTTTTTTTGGGGGGGGGGGAACCTTGTTTGCAAAGGAACATCGGCGGGCGCAGGATGCCATGGGAGTCCACCGGAAACGCGATCAGACGCCCGCCCTTGCCCCGCGGTGTCCGGAAACCAGTACCTCGTAGGTACTAGTTTTTTAGTCCGCATCTTCGGCGGGACGCCATGGGAGCACTACGCTTCCCAGATGTTGTGGTATGATCGCGCCTGGAAAATCCGCCTATCATCCGTATCTTTAGCGTAGCAAATGCTCCATGTGACCAGGGCCTATGAAAACCCTATGCCTATCAGAAATTAGGCACAAAACTATCTGGATCTACTCTTGCCATGAATATTGGATCAAGTGGTGCTGCTTCTATAGAATACATTTTCCCCCAACAGATGTACTTAAGTGGAAAGTCTCGATACTTTAAAAAGGAGAAAAAGCCAGTTCTGTGCAGATGAAATCTTCTGTCAATTCAGTTCAAATGAAAAAAGTCGAAGCAATGTGTACCAAATACCTTGTTTTTGGAGGAAAACAAGAGGCGCAAATGAGTACATAAATATCAAAGGCTATTAATCCTTATAGTTGCGAAGTGTCCATGCAAGCGGTAGAATCACATTTTGAATTAACATAACATGCAATGTAAAACAACTTACCTGTTTGTCTCCTTCAGACCAATATATGCTTGGGCTATCTCCCCTTTGTCCTTCATCTTCTGTACATCCTCCAAAAGGATTGTGGAATCTGTCATGGTGTTCTGGAGGGAATGAGGAGAGTTTCATAATATAGTTTCAGAATATAGATTAGCTTGCAAGTCCTTTTAAACTCCCCCCCCCCCCCATTGGTGTTTAAAACAAGGCCCAGGCTAACAGTTACAATTGGGTCTGAATATAGTGCCCCAGTTCAGAGTTCATCATGGCCAACCATGATGTATCGTGGTCGGGCCCAAGACTCAAGTTCTGGTGCTTTCCCCCCCCCCCCCCCGCCACTTGTTCTTGTTCCCTCCTCTTCTCCCTAGCTTGTGGTCACCCTTGTTTACAACTACACCTACCAGAGCCCATGGTTTGAAGTGGGTTTCTAGGTCCAGCTTGAAAGCAAACTACGGTTTACAGCAACCACAGTTTGTCCTGATCAGTATCACATTGTGGTTACAGTGGTGAATCAAAGCATGCAAGGAGAAGAGCAAGTGCACAGCACATGGTTTAGCCAAACCTTGGTTTCTGAACCACTGTTGCTGACCACACGAACACATGAAGCTGGCTTATACTGAATTAGACCTTTGGTTCATCAAGATCAGTGTTGCCTACTCAGACTGGCAACTGATCTCCAGGTTCTCAGGCAGAGGCCTTTCCAATCACCCGGTACCTGATAACTGGAGATGCTGGGGCTTGAACCTGGGACCTTCTGCATGCCAAGCAGATGCTCTACCGCTGAGCCATGGGAAGAAACAAACGACCAAGGCAGAGGGAGGGAACAAGGAGGGAGGAGCCTGGTTGACTGTGGGCTGGTCACACTCTCTCAGCCTAATCTACCTCAGAGGGTTGTTGTATTGAGGATAAAATGGATGACAGGAAAATGATGTTGCCAATGCTTTGGGTCCCCATTGCAAGGGAAGAGGCATATAAATAAAGACACTCATTTACAACAGATGGAAGCAAGTTTACCTTATCATCCTGGCAATCCATTTGCAAGCAGGAAAAGAAAACAAGAAACACTTGGTCACCCCCCGAAATAACTCTTTGTCAAAGCTACCCCAGCTGGGAAAGAGGGCCACTTGCAAAGGACAAGCTTTTCATGCCCCATTGTGCTCCCCTCCTGGTCCTGGCAGAAGAGGTGCCAGCTGTTCCCAGCGTGGGGTTGAAAGCCTCCTCCAGTCATTTAAAAGGGGAAAAAAAGACTTAATTTATGAGCCATGAGAGCAAGAGGTGTTTTGAGCAGGCCTTTTCACAAATTAGATCTCTTGGCTGAGGCTCCACTCTGCATGACTGCATAGCCCCTTCCCCAATATTTATTTCCAATACAGCACAACACATATACATCGATACATACATGATTTTAATCAATCCTTTTTTTAAAGAAAGAGAGGCTTCAGTAGCAAGGTATTTAGCAACTATAATAGCACTGAAGCGTAAATAGTGGATACCATTGAAAAGCTTATATTTATTTATCTTAATTATTTTAAACAATAAGTTTGGAATGTTTTATACAGATTATATCCTACCGATTTCGAGAAGTTCACTGTTTTAACTTTGTTTTGATGACTGCAGTAGAAGCTCAACAAACAGCTGAGAACAATCTGCTCCCACCTCTCCTCTGTTTTCAGATTTACTGGTAGTTCCCGAATATATCCGGGATTTTTTTTCAGTTTTCCTGAGAAAACCCGGATACATTTGGGATGCCGAAATATACCTAAAAAGTACCAATAAGGTATTTTTGGGTACATTTTTGGTTTGGGTAGATCTGAACGCACACCCTTAATTACAATACATCACAGGACTCCGGATACTGTTCACATTTGGCTTCAGGAGATGGAAGTTTGGAGCTGATATCATGTTCTACGTTGATTTCCCAAGCTCACTGCAATCTGACAATAAACCTGACATGATCTCATCCTTAACAGAATGGTTGGTGAAGAAATGAGAAATCCCGTCATGCAATTGTAACATTATTGGGAGAATATCTTCCCACAGAAAATGGAAATGGTGCAACAAATAATCAGCACTTCACACACAAATCAGCAGGCCCACAAAAGAACACATTGGGAGGGGAATGCCTCCCCCCCCCCTTAGAAGGTTTCCCAAATGCATCTGAGAAGTAGATTGCTTTGAGGAGACAAGAGGACCTGCAACCTTAAGGAAAATGTTCTCCCTCCACCAGCTACATGGAAAACTCAGGGAAAACTTCTACGACTTACCTTGGGCTGAATGGCCTCTTTCTGGCTCATCAGTTGTGACCTGAGGATGAGGACTTCTTCCTTGCGGACCTCCAGCTCCTCGCTGACTGACATCATCTGCTCCAAGAGGACCCTGTATGCTGGGGCGCCTGGTGCGGTGACTCCCGGAGCACTCTTTTCTATCAGGGCCTTCCGCAGCTCATTCAGCTCATTCTTGAGTTTCTTGTTCTCCGATTCAAGCTCTTGACGCTGCAGAAAAACAGCAACAGTTGCTCCTATTTACCTACAATGTCTTCTTCCTTTGCTACAGAACTACTGAAGGGTGGGAAATCAAATGCTTTGGCCCAGTCAGCATTATGTTGGTTTTATATGATAACTTTTTACTTTTTATGATTTGCCAAAGGACTCCTGAAAACAGAAGATTGGAAACCTTCCTCTGATAGAAGATGCTCCAGAAACATCTAAATAAAATATCCAGAATTACCTTAAGCGATTCATATTCCAGCTCTGCTCCTCTCATCTGAGGCCGTTCTTCTTCCTAGGATGACAGAAACGAAAAGGGAAGATTTCATCCTTTAGGAAGTACTACAGGATGGAAAACCAAACGTGCTTGATGAAAGAACTGGATACTTCAGTCAGGGTTAACATTCTACATACAAAAATTGGAAATCGTTTTTTTACTAATACAAACAAGAACAATTGTGTATTTGATCCATATCATGTTTTTGTTATTCACAAACTTATTCACTGAGCATAGGCAACTAAAACAGAATAGTATTCTGCTTTCATTGCCTATGTTCAGGAAACTGGCTGCAGGAGATGTTCACAAACTTTATGCCTTAAGAGAACCTCTCTAAAATCCAGAGGAAAAAGTTCTCTGATCCTTTTTGCAATCAGCAATGGTAAAAAGTGTAAAAGCGGGTTGTAACGATTTCATGTTTAACTGTGTGTGTGTGACTTTAAAAGTTTGGATGCCTGGCTGTATGATAGTCTAGTGTAGTCTAGAGTAGTGGAAACAAGCAAGTGGTGTGATTGGTGAGTGACAGAGAGGGGGAGGGTTTTGGAAGTGATGCTATCTGGATGATATTTATGTCTATCAGGAGTGACAGTTGGAGGTTTGGACAGCTGGAGTGTGACAGTTGAATAAGAGAGTAGTCAAGTTCTGAGTTCTGTGAGAGAAACAGCAGTTAGTTAAGTTCTGTCTCCGAGAGAAGGAGACTCATCCCTGTGTGGGATAATTTGGTTCTGTGTAGTAAAAGAGTTAAGCAGTGTGTTCGTTTTAAGGTCTGAGAGAGAGAAGTCTTGTGTGTGTTATGAAAAGTTGAAGTATAAAGAAACAGTAACCATATATGGCCTAAAGGGAAAAAAGTGTTACAAAGTTACATGCCCAGATCCCTGACAGTGGGAGAGAAAAGTGTGTGAAATATCAATAAATCTACTTTTATTTAAGATACCAGTTCTGAAAGAAATTCTTCCCAGGAAACACATAGACCCTCGTGAACGCCTAAACCCTCGACTTACCTACCCAGTGACAGAAATATTATATTATAGAGGTTTGGAAAGCCTTAAATTTCCTGTTGGCAGCCGGAATACCCAGTAAAATAAAATAAAAGGAACACTTTTAAAGTAAAACCAGACCTCCCCAGTTAAGGGGTCATCACACGGGTGATGAACAGATACCTGCCTGTTTCCAAGGATATTTCATTTCAATGAATAACCTTTGGGAACCTTCAAGTATTCTTTAAGATTACATTCCATTGTGTTACTTTACTTTTGATCTGCTTGCAACCATGACACAACATGAAAGTAAAATGGAATATAACATTAAATAATAGTTTAAGGTTCCCAAGAGCTATTCATGGAAACAAAATAGCTTTGGAAAACAGTAAGAGTCCAGTAGCACCTTAAAGACAAAAAAGTTTTGGTAGGGTATGTACTTTCGTTAGTCACTGCTCACTTCTTCAAATGCAGCTAGAATGTGAGTTCATCTGTCCTATATATTGGGAAGTGGAGTGATTTCAGATGCTAAATTACATTAGCAGGCAAATGACAATAGCAGGTGTGATTGGATTAGGTGTGATATGCAGACAGGTAGTAGGCGTGAAGAAATCAGCATGGGTAATGAGACAGAAATCCTATGTCTCAATTCAGTTCAGGAGGATTCATTGTCTTGAGCTTCATTATCAGTTGCAATTCAGCAGTCTCTCTTTCTAATCTCCCTTTGAAATTCCTTTGTGAAAGGAACAGAAAGGTATCCTTTGATCATACAGCACTGTCTATACAAAACAGAATGAGAACACAACTTGTTGCCCTTTGACCCAATAAACACCCCACTGGGGGATGCTCATGGAGGAACATGTACTTCCTTTAGTTACTGCCTACCTGAATCTCCCATTGAGGAGGACCAAGTTGCATTTTGAGAGCTAGGGATCTACGACCTGCTAGAAAATAGGATTCCACTTTCAACCCCCAGCTGAAGAGAAGTGGAACTTCTTGGGTCTTTACCTTGGCCTTGGCTCGAAGTACTTGCTCCTCTTTCCTGTCCAGTTCATCCTGCAAGGACTGCTTTTCCTGCTCCAGCTCGGTAACCCGTTTTTGTAGCTTGAGGAATAAAGACATGTCCAGAGGTGCCTTCTTTTCACTTGGTTCCTGCTTCAATTGGAAACCCATGGGGAGATCAGCAAGATTCTAAATTGCACTAAAGAAGACGGGCCAGCCTACACATTACTGTTTTGTCTCAGGGAGAATGTGGAAAACATCCCCTGCACGATGGCTTCTCCACAATAATGCCGCAACATGTGGTGCAATATTTCTATTCCCAGCACCAAAAGTCACCACACAGGGGTAGTAGTGGTGTAGAAACTAGCCATGCAATATGGAAAAGTCACATGAACAGTCACATGACAGCAGGGGCAAGAAGCTGACATCATCAGGATACAATGTCAAGCAGACTCAACAAACCTAAGCATGGCACCTGTTGAGTATGCTAATGTGTAGACTGACCCTAAACGTTTACAAGAATCAAGGGTGGTGGGATGGGGAGAAAGTAATGATAAGAAATATATCAGTGTTAAGAGGGTTGCTTATTGGCACTCAAGCTTTTCAAAAAGTTATTTTTTAAAAATCACAAATGTAAAATATCATTTTAGTAAATAAATCTAACAATATAAAAGGGCATCTAGCCTAAAGCTTTGAAGACAGAAAGCTAGGAACTATCTAAAAGATTTTAAATCTATGATCGCGCATACCTTTCTTTCTTTGTTTGAAAGGGGAGGGGAGAAAGAAACAGGGTTACCATTAGATGAAGGTTATATAACAGAAGAGCAACGAGATATTTAGATGCACGCCATTTTAAAAAATATTTGTCTCTACTGTAAGGTGACCTGTGGCCCAACTGCAAACAGAGTTACATCCTTCTGTGCCTAGTAACTTCATTGGACTCCAAAGGGTATAATTCTGCTTTGAATGGCTCTGTTAATATAGTAGAATGTGAAAATAAGAGGTATTCCTGCACCTCCAGAAATAAGATTTCTGCCTTTTCCTTTCATTGATTGTATCTGCACATGTGATGTACCATGACTCAAAGGAGTGCTGCTAAAATCAGCTTATTTCATAGCTAATGTAGTGTTCACTGCCAATTTGCTAATGTACATGGCACACTAATTAGTATTCAAACTGCACTGCATGTGTAATGCAGAATAATATAATCCAACATTGTCTGCACCCACATATATTAAAACTCTTGAAGTCTGTTTTCAGTATAATGTAGCATACTTTGCTGAAGATTACAGTCATAGATGATGTTGAAGGAAAACAAGTCGAACCTTTTCTAAATCTGAGGGTGGGTTGTTGTTCCTTGCAAAAGCGGAACAAAAGTTAGACTGACCTCTCCTGTCTATCATTGCTGTGTCGTGTCAGGGGCTTCTCAGCCAGCCATCCCCAGCTTGCATCCCAAATTCCCACCAGGCCCACAACAAACCAAGAAGGACAGAAGCCTCGCAGCTCTTCTCCCCTCTTTTCCAACTGTAGTTTAGAACTCTAGGTCATGGTGACAGCTTACATTTCTAGCTATGGGCTTCTACTACGAGACCCCCAGCTGCAGTCCAACAGGATATGGTGCAGGGGTTGTTACCAACGTTCCCTCTAAGCTGTGGAGTCCTGTGAGCCAAAATTCTACTTTGTGAGCGACTAGCATTAAAGTTGTGAGCGAGTGATTTGGCTCCTGCATAAATTAGTCTGCTCATGAGCCATCTTTCTTGAGCTGGGACAAAAATCTGTGAGCTGAAGGCTAAGAAACCGTGAGCTAGCTCACACTAACTCAGCTTAGAAGGAACATTGGTTGTTACATTAATTTTTGCAGCATATGCATGCATAAGCTCCGTGTGTGCGTGTGTGTGTGTGTGTGAGAGAGAGAGAGAGAGAGAGAGAGAGAGAGAGAGAGAGAGAGAGCGCGCAACCCTCTTTCCTGTTGGATGGCCCCTTGAGTCATTGCCACCACCCTTAATGGGAGAGAAGCATGGAAGCTGGGAGGGCAAGCCTTCACTTCAGGGGCAGCACAGGTTTGCCTCAAGAGAATGGGGGGAGAGGGAGGAGCAGCTAAATCAGTCAGTCGCTTTTGAGAGTGGGCAGAGAGGAAGCAGAGCTGTTGTGTCATGAAAGTGCCAACTGTCTGGCCTATACCTGACACCACACTGAGAACACTGAAGCGTAAAAAAAAAGACTAAGCTGGTAAAGAAAGCAAAACAGGATTGAATTGTGGACCAATTAATAGCACAGAATTCTGCCCGCTTTTGAACATGCAACGTTCTTCTGGTTTAGAAGGACAGGAAGTCTGGGAGGAGATGATCTTGTGCAGTGAGATAAAATTTACTTGTCTTACAACACAGGACATGAGAGTAATCCAGTGACAGAAAGTGAGACTTGCAGCAGGAAGTTATTGTGGCCTCATTTTTCTTCGGGCCTTCCCAGAACCAGTATAGCAAATGGAGGGGGGAGAGAAATATGCCGCAAGAATGTAGCTAGCATTCACCTGCAGCTCTTTCTCGCAGAAACTATATAAGGTAAAGAATAAATAAGGCAGAACGCCTCATTAGCGTTATCATCCTGAAACATACTTGCAGCAAATTCAAAAGCACCAAAGATTTGGCTCTAAAACAATCAACATCCAAGAAGGAGCCGCAGCAGGGTTTGAATTATTCATGACCAAGTCTGATCTTCTAGGGAAGTAACATAGCTGAGTCATCATTCTGATTCTGAACTTAACGGACAGGCAGGTTCCATTAAGGAGGCTCCCTTCCAAGTTTTCCTGACTTTTTCCCCCTCCTTCATCATGGCAACAAATGGACTTATATTGGTAAGCTGCCTTCCAGTTTACAGGACCCTTATTAAGCTTTTAGCATGGCAGCTTCAGCTAGTCACTCTCAGCAAGATATAAAATGATCTCCTATCCTACCCCCCCCCCCTTTGGAATCCATTGCCCAAAAAACATGAGTGAGGAAAAGACTGCCATGTTAAAAATACAATGCAGATTTGCTTACTGGGTCAGTTCATAGCTAGTCCCAGGGCATGGCTGGAGGATGCATGATGCAGAGAACTTGCTGAAGCTAAGCGGGTCGGGGTGTATTCTCTGACAGCTAAGCTGGCGTGTGCATCCTCAAATCCTCCACAATGTACTACTACTACTGTGAAAAGGACTCCCTGGGTGAAGAAAGCGGGGTAAAAATACTAATAAATAAATAAATAAAAATAAGAGTGAATTTTGGCCACTTCAGGTAGTTGCTGTGCTGTTCACATTTCCAGGGATGGGCCCGTGTTTGCTGAAAACCCCAAGGGAAAGTTTCCATGGCAAAAGAGCTCATCCAAGCTTACCTCCATTCTCATGGGAAAGTCTTCAGCCTCTGTGATCTCAGAGCTATAGGTGTATTCTGATTCATTGCTACTATGTGTGGAATCAGTTCTCTTGTGCCCGGGTTTAGAGATGTTCTAGAGGAAGGACGGAAAAGAGAAATTGCCAGTGTCACTATTTAATTTTTGTATTTTCATATTCCTTCTGCTTTACACTTTTAGTGCCTTGCAGAAGTCAAGGCTGATTTTGTTCTTCTGTCACCTGAAGAAGTATTTTGGGAAAGGCTCAGACTTCTTGCCGAGATAGACAAGTGCTTTGGGCAAGAGAACTTTACAGAAGGGGGAATATATATGCATAAGATAAGAAATGGGCAGCCTAACAGAAATGAAAAGTCAAGAATTCTCTAAAACCCCAGCTGGAGGGGCAATCAGCTAGGGTGCGTGCATGCAAGGGAGACGCTGAGGACAGCTCCCCCATCCACTCCTCCCACCCACTGCTTCTCTGACCCTCCAGGCTGTACAATTTCTTCCAGTTCTACGGCTGGGTCTGCCGTTTGGGCCCTGGATCTCTTTGCACCAAACCTTCCCCAGGGCCTGAAAACCACTCACCACCATCAGCTTCATCTCATCCTTCAGATCATCGTATCGCTCCTCTAACCGGCTGAATTCATTGAGCAGATTCTGATAGCGCAGCCTTTCGTCGTTCAGATCCAGCTCCAGCTGTTTTGTCTCTTCCATAAGCCTTTTCTCCATGGCATCTGGTTCAACAGGGAGGAAAAATACGAGATCTGCAGCTGACACCTATGAGGTTTCCACATCTAGGTACCGAAAGAACGGTCTCACTGTCGAGGAGCAGCCACTGAACTACTTCTCCTCCCCCAACACACATGCTCCCCACATTGCTCCCCCGCAGTAACTATTTTAAGGCAGGAAACGGCTGCCTAGAAGCCAAAACGATCAGGAATTAGAATATGAACAAATACTGTGCTTTAAGCTTGCAGGCATAGCTATTTACAGACCTATATGTAGTTTTTAAGACTCTTGCTCACCTATCTTTGGCTTGGCTCAGATGGAACAGTGGACCATGGTGACTGAGATTAAGGGATCCTCAGTTTCACAGGCTCCTTTCCTTCCTTCCCCCCCCTCATCCTCTCACATGCAGTGATGCCGTTAAAGACTTTTGCTTTCACAGTTAGCTTGTTGTTCCACCCAAGCAAAAAAACCCTATGGTTTGTGCTCTACCCTGCAAACCAAGATGCCAAATCTCGGTTTAATTCTGGTTCAAACAAGGGTGCAAATCACAGCATTTGCTCAGATATAACGGCAAGCCATGGTTGGCTGTCAAAGCAGAAAGTCTTTAGATTGCTGCACCCAAGGGGAAAGAGCGCGCAAGCCCAAGGATCCCCCCAGGCCCATTATTACATATGAAGCATTATTACATATGAAGCATAACAATACAGAATTTTAAACTATTGTGAACCATTCTTCTTTCTGGGACCCAGCTAAAATGACTGGTTGAATGTAGGAAACTTGTGTGACTTTCAAATGTTACAGAACTGTCACGAAGCCAGCTGTCTCCACAGTATACCCCTCTGGACTGATTTTATGATGTACAGAACTACCTGCTCACAGGAATTTATTGTTCTGTTGAAGGAGTAGGGGGGTATACAAACAGCTTTTTCAGCACCCTTGAAGAACAAGGATAAAAGACTAAAATATACTCTGATCAAAGTGTGAAAGAGGCATGCCTTTCCTCTTCATTGTGACGAAAAGCTAACAAGAGAACTGGTGGGCAGGATAGCATGTATATAAAGACAGTAGCAACCTTGACAACCTGACTGACACTTCTTTCCCCAGTGAGAGCTAGGCTAGGCATTTATGCTGCCCAGTGAAAAGGAGGAGTTCCTTGGAGTCAGTGGGCCACAACTGAGTCAACTAACAATCCTTGTGCCAGTTTCACAAATTTAAGTCTTCCTACCAGGGATAGAGTTTTGCGGGGGGGGGGGGGGGGGGGGATCCAGCCAAGTCAAACCAAAATCCCAAGCACAGCTTACCTGTCATCTCTTTGGCTTGGTCCTGGATGCGATGGTTCAGCTCATCTTTCTCTTTCTTAAGCAGTGTGTTTTGCTCTTTCAGTTCCAGCACCAACTACAAAAAAAAAAGGAATTAGAGAAGGCTCATAGCTGAAGGTGCACAAGATCTGCCTTGATAGATGAGTTCTTCAGGTAATACTCTTTTTAGAGCAACTTCAGTCAGTGCCGATCAGTAAAGTCATTCTGATGTGACTTCTGTATATCACACCATTGTTTGTTTATTATTTATTTACAAAATTTATCTACAGAAAATCTGCCTCTCCCTCCCCTGCAGGTAGCCCTGAAGTCTATACTGTACACAGCCTAAAACAGGCTTTTAGTTGAGGGCAGCAATGGTTAAGACTGGCACCCTCTCTCTTTTTCTTCTAATGACCCCCACATGCCCTTCCCTGCCCTGCTGCGCAAACAGCAGTGTAGCCAGCAAAAGGGATCATATCGCCATCTTGGATTGGTTAATTTATTGGTTTACTGTTATGATTTTACATTGATTGCACTTTTAATTGCTTTTAAGGTTGTAAATCGCCCAGAGCCTGCTAGCAGGGTGGGCAATTTATAAGTTGAATAAATAATAACAACAATCAACAGCTCTGTTATTGGTGGAGCTGTGATTTCAACAGCACTGCACAGAACTAAGCTAAATAAAGGCACTATGCAGAGGTGCAGTAAGACAGACCATGGGAACAAGTAGTACTGTGCAGTGGTTACAGCATCACACTAGGACTAGGGAGACCCTGATTCCAATCTTCATTCTGGCACGCAGCTTGCAGAATGATTTTGGGCCAATCATTCATACTCCACCAAGCCTAAGTCTCAGGGTTATTTTAAAGATAAAACTGCGAAGAAAACTATACATACAGCTCCAAGTTCCCTGAAGGAAGGGTTAGATAAAGCTGCAATAGATCGGTAGACAGGTACAAAAGCCCTAATTGAGAACTTAGATTGGACATCAGCTTCAGACAGCACAAGAGAGAAGTGACTGCTAACCACCAGGGCAACCCTTCAACCTCCTGTCCTGTGACATGGCATGACAAGAATGCAGCTTTTCTGGTCAGCAGATATTCCTTGTAATGTCTACTTCCATTCCCACTGAACAGCCTGAGGCAAGCCTCTGACTGTAACACGGAAATACTATCAGCTGTTGCAACACGTAATGTTAAAAATGCACGTGAAGAGCTTTGAGTGCTTAATAAATCACTAAGTATGCAGTACTGTTATTGTTATATACAATTCCTAGAAAACAATTTTTCTTCACTTTTAACTGTCTTAACTACCTACTACAACTAGAAAGACTTTGAGTAAGACAGAAATTATGCATCTGTATGTCAAACATCAGCTCATGAATTACTGCTGGTGGCAGGGCTCAGCCTGATGTGAGAACCATGTGACTATAACACCTGGCAACCAAAGAAGGGGATTGTTTTAAATATAGCAGGAAATTATCAGTCAGTCAAAAAACTCATAGCTAACAATCAGATAAGTTTTAACCAAATAAGGCATTTAAATTTCCATATAAACAAAAAACATTGTTTTGAAAAAGGCACACTTGCTTTGTTTATTGATAAGCAATAGTTTCTATAAACATCAGAAATATATAACCATTTAAAAGAAATCTATTGTTTGATCATAGTCAGCAATGACCAACAGACGTATGCCTTTTTTGATGCAGGGCAAAAGGCATACTCACCTTGTCTGTTTCCTGTTTGTATATCTCTGCCTTCTCTTGGATCGACTTCTTCTCAGACTGTGTTTGGTGCAGCTCTTTCTGGAGCTTGGTGATCTCCTCCTGAAGGCTCAGGACCCGGTTGGTGGCATTCTTGGCCTCTTCCTCGCTCATCTTAAGCCTTTCTACGTCACTCTTCAGCTTCTGCGTCTCTGAACTGTACACTGCTTCTAGACTAGTTAGCTTCTCAAGTAAAGATTTGGAATCTTTGCTCTGGAGGAACCCAAAAAATAAAAGAGATCAACACTCGTAAGGCTTTTTATTTAGCAGGCAAACCGTTCATGCTGGCGTAGGATTTGTACACTGAAACTGCTCACTGATTTTTATCCACCCTGCTATTCATATTAAAGACACCCACACATATCTCCCCTTAACTTCCCTTTGTTGAGACTGCAAGTTTGTGACCCTAAAGTTCCATAATGTATGTATTTTGTGACCCTAAAGATCTATTGAAAAAACACATGTTCTGTTTTTTAAAAAGATCCTGGGTTGGATCCAGCCAGGTTTTTTCCTTAGTCTCAACCTATCTACCTCCTTCCTGCAGCTCACATTTCCCATGGATTCTGTCCACGGCAGTTCCCTAACAAAGACTTTTTGGATTGTCGGAGAGGATCCCCCTCCTCCCTTTTTCACCAGCAGAAAAGCTGGTTGGATCCAACCCATAGAGTATTATTTACTAAAATTAATATGTCCATGAAGTTAACATTGCTTAAATGTGCTAGAATTCCAGAACGGAAAATGTTTTTTAAAAGGAATTAGTGAGCCAACTACAAGCAGATAATTGGATGTGATAATCACACACACAGGTCTTCAAGAACAGCAGACTCTAATCTGGAGAACTGGGTTTGATTCCCCAACTCCTCTACATGAAGCCTGCTGGGTGACCTTGGGCCAGTCACAGTTCACTCAGCCCCACCTGACTCATAGGGAGCCTGTTGTGGGGAGAGGAAGGGAAGGCAATTGGAAGCTACTTTGAGACTCCTTAAGGTAGAGAAAAGCAGGGTTTAAAAACCTCCTCTTCTTTTTTTCTTCAACAGGTTGTACTTTACTTGTGGAAATGTTGCCCAGGTAAGAGTTTTGTTTCAGAGCATCTCATGTGCATCAGATATTTGACCGTTCACCCCCCACCCAGCAGTGAAGTGTCCTTGTACCTGTTCATCAAGTTTACGCTGGAGCTGCATGATCTTGTTCTCCATGCCAAAGTTGAGTTTCTTGTAGTGTTCCACGGAGCGCGCTTCTATCTTCAGCTTCTTCAGCTCTCGCTTGGCCATCATGCGCCGGTAACAGCACTGCAGGTAGACAATCGCCTCCAGAGTCCTATGGTAGCGCAAGCGAGCCAGCCAGCCACGCACACGCTTCTGAATAACAGTAGCCTTGTGCTCCCGAAGCATCTGCATGTTCAAAACAGGCAAACAATACACACTTGTGTACTCGGAATTTCAGCCTTTTTTTTTTTTAAGTTTGCTATGGAAGACAGTTATCAAAGTTAGAAGAGTTGGGACAAAGAATGAATACGAGCGCAATCTGTGGTGTTGTTGTTGTTCAGTCGCACAGTCGAGTCCGACTCTTCGCGACCCCATGGATCATCTCCCGCCAGGCCCTCCTGTCTTCCGCCGTCCTCTGAAGTTGGCTCAATTTCATGTTCGTTGCATCGATGACACTGTGCTGTACTCAGAAGTAAATCCTATTTTAGTCAATGGAGATTACTCCCTGGAAGTGTTTTTAGGATTGTGCTGCTAAATCAGATAACTGAAAAACTGAAGAAAATTAAGACTAGGAAGTAAAGGAAGAAAGCTACTGTCTGGCCAATACATGCACAGCTGAGTATGTTCCAACAACCTACTGTCCTGGTGTGTGTGTGTGTGGTAGAAAGTGCTGCCAAGTCGTAACCGACTTATGGTGACCCTGTAGGGTTTTCAAAGCAAGAGACATTCAGAGGTGGTTTGCCATTGCCTCTGCGCTGCGACCCTGGATTTCCTTGGTGGTTTCCCATTCAAATACTAACCAGGGGCAGCTCTGCTTATTTTCTGAGATCAGTCCAGGTCAGGGCACGCACATATATATATAATGGGTTGGATCCTGTCTAAATTCAACTCTTGGAAGTCTACCAAAAGTTGAATTTAGACAGGATCCAACCCATCTATATACATAAAAGAAAGTGTCCCCCCCACCGTAAAATCAATGCCCAGGCCAAACCCCTGGACCTAGAAGCACGAAATTCAAGGAGAGCACTCCTACCATAACGTAGGGATTTTTAGAAATTCAACCCCTAAGGGGATCAAAAGGGTTAAAATGTGCTCCCCCATTGCTTCCGATGTGGTTGCCAAGCTGCTGCCTCCTTTCACCCCCCACCCCCTCTCTGATTGGTCAGCTGCACAGCTCAGTGTTCTGAGGTTAAAAAAAACAGTTACAGGAGACTGCACAGAGCTAACGACAGTTGAGGAAATCAGGAATGGCCAACCACCTGTGAGGTGCAGCAATGCTGCTGGCCTAGCCTCCCCGATGGCTTCAAACATGCTCCCCCCACCTCCTACACCTGACAGGCTGTCTGTCTGGTGCAGCAGCAGGTGCAGGGTGCTTAAAGCCATCAGGGAGCCCACCCCAGCAGTAACGCCTTAGTGATCCTGCTGGCCCAGCCTCCACAATGGCTTGCAATACCCCCCCTCTCCCCCCCTACACTGTACAGGCAGCTGCCTGTCAGGTGTAAGAGAGGGGGGGGTGGCTTACAGCTATTGGGGAGGCTTGCTCAGCAGGACTGCCTTAGCGCTGCTGCTGGCCCAGCCTCCCCTATGCCTTTAAACACACTCCCCCCCAACACCAGACAGATGGGTGTCTGTCACGTGTAGGAGCAGGGCCAGGGTACTTTTATCCATCAGGAAGGCTGTGTTAATATCACGCATACCACTCAAACCATCAGAAAACCCCTTCAAGAGGCTGCAGTTCCCCCTCAAGGTCTGCTTTGCTATGACAATCAACAAGTCACAAGACCGGAGACTGAAGGTGGCAGGAATTGACTTAACTGACGACTGCGTCTCACATGGATAGTTCTATGTGGCCTGCTCCAGAGTGAGCTCACCAAGCAGCCTGGTGATCCTAGCACCTGAGGGCAGAACCACCAGTGTGGTCTACAGAGAGGTCCTTCAGTAGAGGAAAGAAACAGTACATATGTCTCACTTCATTTTTTACACTACAATCTTCTCCATTAGAATTTCTACAACAAATGTTACATTTCAATATACACACACACAGGCTCCAGAGTCTGACGGACTGCCACCTGAATTTTTTAAAGAAAATATTGATTGGTGGGCACCCTTCCTTGCAGCCCTTTTCACTTTTATAGACTCTTCAGGCCTTATCCCCTCAGAGTGGAATACGGCAATAGTGGTCCCCATATTCAAAAAGGGCGCAAGAGAAGAGCCCGCAAATTATCGGCCTATTAGCCTTTTAAATATATGTAGCAAGTTATATGCTAAACACCTTCTGGTAAAGTTTGAGGATTGGCTGATCCAAGAAAATGTGATTGTGACAGAGCAAGCTGGTTTTAGAGAGTTTAGATCCACTTTAGACCACTGCCTTACAATTCAACACCTTATAGAAAAATACGCTGCTAAAGGTCCTAATTCACTTTTTGCTGCTTTCATTGACTTGAAAGCGGCTTTTGATTCAATATCGAGGCCGAAATTGTGGGCCGGCTTAGAAGCTTCCTCAATTGATAGAAGGCTCCTCTTTTTGTTGCGGGCTCTTCATGATAACACCCATTTGCAGGTTAGGCTTAACAGGAAAGGAAATATATCGGACCTTATTAACACCTATAGGGGAGTTAGGCAGGATTGCGTACTAGCCCCTTCCCTGTTTAATCTATATATTAATGATATAGTAAGTTACTTGAGCTGCGGTGGCTCAAGTGGTTAAGATGCTGAACTGCAGGCTGTGGAAGGTTGGTAGTTCAGCAGTTCGAGACCCAAGTTGCCACATGACGGAGTGAGCTCCTGTCTCTAGTTCCAGCTCCTGCCAACCACCTTGCAGTTCGAAAGCAAGAAATTGCAAGTAGATAAATAGGCACCACTTCAGTGGGAAGGTAACAGCGTTCTGTGCGCCTTGGTGTTTAGTCATAGGAAACCCCATCCCATTGGGGGGTTGGCAACCCTATCTCAGTTGTGGCACCAAATTTCTAGAACTCTCTCCCCAGGGAGACTTACCTGTCCCCTTCTACTGCCATCTTCCACCAGCAGTCGAAGACTGTTTTGTTTTGTTGGATGTTCCTTCAGTGATCCCTCTTTCCTGCCCTATGTTTTAAATGCTGTTTTTATATTTGTATTTTAGTTTTGGTTTTATCTGTTTTATTGATGTCTTTTTGTTTGGTTTTAATTTTTTAAAAGATTTTTTAAATTACGTGTAGTTTTTAATTGGTTAGCCAACCTGGTGGCCCTGATGAGGTCAGAAAGGCGGGATATAAATCTTAATAAACTTTCAGCTGATCATAAAACCAACATGATCCATCCTATTAAACAGACATTGGCACAGAAAATCCATCTTTGCCTTATAAACAGCATAATAAAATGCTGTGGTGACAAATGTGACAGTCTAGATCTCTTGTTAGTACTCATACAAAAGTTTTTAAAAGTTAAAAACTCCCAATGCATGAGGTATTACTAATAATGGTTCTTCCTCTACCACACTGTGCTGATTTATCACTTCCTATTCTTTTTTCAGAATCTATAATCATTTGTATTATATTTCAGTTGCTAACTTCTGCTATGATATATAGCTAAAGACATTTTAAAATATTTCCCTGATTTTTCTAGAGAGTCTCACAGAAATACCTTGATTCAGCAGGTATAGCAGATCCACATCTGTAGTCAAGCAATCCAAGTAAACCCAAAGAATGTTTAATTATCAGAACTTTTACTACTAGAGCCATCAGATTGTTTACAAGACAAAACCTGGACCTGGCAGAGCTTCCTGTGAAACTGACGGACATCACAATTGCATCACATGCAGGGCATTTAGAGCAAGTAGCTCGGTCCTCTCTGAAACCTTATTATGGTCATATGACTACTGCCCATACCGGTTTTTTAATAGCAGCTGTCACCTACTGCAATCCCTTCCCCTGTGCAAAGAACATGCCATGCAGGGAAGTTAAACTATCCCCAATGACAGGAACCCAACTGATGCATCAAATGGGGTCAGACATCTGATATACAACTGGTCATCTTTGAAATTCCTGAAGAACCACCACAAGCCTATAGCATTACAGTTGCACAGGGCATTATCACTCCTTCTTTTAGGCTTCCACGGACCCTTACTGATAATTTCTCCTCCAGAACAGTTCTCATATTTTGTGTGTCTTTTGGATCTTTCTGTCATTCATGTTTACAAAAAAACCCAAAACCCTAGTGTTCAGTGAAACAATTGTGATACAATAGAAATAAAAGAGTGACAAACCATACAAATCTGTTGGACCAAAGGTTAGGGGCAACCTACTGGTAAGGTGTAGTGAATTGAGTTTAAACTTGAACCTGAAAGAACTTGCTTTAAGTCCCCCTTCAGCCTGAAAGCTCGATAAATACCCAGGGGGCAATTCCTCTTTCAGTCTAAACAACCATACAAAGGATTATGGGGGGAAACCCCAATGAGTACTGCTTCTAAATTCCTTGGAGGAAAGGCAGAATATAACGCCAATGACACCCACCAACGTTATTTCCTGTTGAGATATTAATACTCATAGCTGACTTGGTTTTGTATTTCAATAGGAATGTCTTAAAATATTAGAAATGGTTATTAGAAATGAGCTGCATTCTTCAAAGTGTGAAGCAACTCTAATTGTTGCACGACTCATTCTATGAACACCACTAACTGCTCAACCAAAAACTTCCCTACTGGTCACCAGCACTATCTACTCGTACGAAAAGTACTTCCCCACACCTTTAGACTACCTGTCTGCCAGATTTCAGTCACATTCTTCCTCTCCTGGAAAACAGCCCAGAACAGACACATAGCACCACCTGTAGAACCCCTTGTCATGATCTGTGCAAGACTGGGGCGGCCTGGTCCCAGGAGAGGCCTGCATGGCAGTGAAAGCAAACAGCCTACAGTCCCTATAAGGCTTAGCAATGGGCTATAGCCAAATCGGAGAGGAAGATTCTGTGAGGAGAGGATGGGGCTTAGCTGTTAGCTGGGGGGAAACGGTGGTCTTCCCTCTCGCAGGTCTAAACTGAAGGGACCGTGATACACTCTGTGTGTGGGGAGGGAACGATTCTTGCTGGCCGTCTGCGGTTTTCCCTCTCACGGAGTCACTGAGGGGGGAAAGGCTGGTCTGAGAGGAAAGGATCCCTCACTGAGAGAACAGAGTGAGTGTTAGGCAGGCTGTGGGCCTGGAAGTAGAACAGGTAGCTGCGTTAGTTTATGTTTATTTTGCCTTTTCAACCCTGTTCTACCCTTTTGAAGCACCTTGCCTTGTCTTGTTTTCCATGCCTCAGTATTGTTTTTAATAAACACTTTTTGTGCAATTGTTTTCTCTGCCCGGGTCAATCACGCCTGTGTGTTCTCGGCTGCAAAAGGGGCATGTCGGATGGGCCTGGGAGGGTACTCTGGGCCTTCTCAGGAGACCTGAAGTCCAGAGTGGTGGCGGTGGAAGGTGGAGACCCCTGGGGTCATGACACCCCTGATAAGGGATTTGCTTCTCAGTTTTGCTGCTGTGAAATAACTTGTGAAAATGTACCACCTACACTGGAATGTTCCTTAAAACAACTGGACAGACTGACATCAAGAGAAATATCTTCCACACGGCTGCCGCTTTAAAAAGGTTGAACAAGCCATTTGAAATCCGAACACTGAAACCGCCTCCTATTGCCCTATCCTACTTGAAGTAAGTCCCACTGTATGCAATGGGGCTGAAGACTCCAGCCTACTGCATTACTGCAGCTTCACACTATATCACACAGAAATGTCAACACTCAGCATTGCAAGGAGCTATTACTGCTGCTGTATGATAGTTGCGCAGATTACCTCCAACAGACTGGGTCCTCTGGTGAATACAGTGATCAGGAAGATCACACACTCAGCTAACACACTCAGGTTTCCCCCCAAAACAAACCTGTGTTGGACAGTCCCGTGATGATATTTCAGTGTCACACAGTGACCGGCTGAACCATCTTTCACGTGGTAGCCCAAGGGTGGCTGAGATGGTGTTGTGATCACATATTAAGAGGAAGTTTAGGGTCTGTGTCTAACCAATTTAAAGATATCACTAAGGGCACAAAAACAGATGATGAAGTTCACAGACATCCGTTAGTCTATAAAAAGTAAATTACACCATGCATACAACCACAATCTAAATGGAGGATGGGGGGGAGAGGAAAGTTAACTCTTTAAGCCCTGCTTAATTCCACTAGTCAAAACCAGGTTCCTTACATTGTTATCAGTTTAAAGGGGGGGGGGAATAGTTTTTTAAAAGGACCCCCCCTTTTTTTTTTTTGCAAAAGTGATCCTTAAGGGTTAAAGTAAACCCTTAAGGGGTTTAACCTTTAAAACCTGCCTCCCCTCCCTGTACAGTCCCAATACGACAGGAAAACACTACTGCTAGCACTTTATATTGATATAATATGATTTTATTGAATTGTTTTAGAAGTTTTATGATATTTGAATGTTGTTAAGTTTTATTGTTGTAAGCCGCCCTCCTTAGGCAGGGAGGGCGGGGTACAAATTTGAATAAATAAATAAACAATACAAACTGCAGCTGCATGCACATTAATGTATCATGGCTACCACACAGTATTCTCCTGCTTCAGAGATGCATGCACAAAGGTGCACGTACACCAATTTCTTGCATGCTCCAATTTCCACACTTATTTTGATGAAGGACCCCACTCCCCCACACTCCTATTCAGTCCTTCCACTGAAAGGAACTAAGAATTTCTTGGGAGCAGAATTTCTTGTGCGCCCACCTGAACTCCCACACAGAGGACTGGGTGCTTCAGCCCAAAATCTGTCTCATGATTTTCAGCATGTTGACACCAGAGTGAGTACCTACCCTCCAAAATATAATCATAAAGCACAGGTTTGCCTGAGTATGTAGTTTAAGATTACAAAACTCAAGGCAAAATTTGAGTTTGAAGAAAGGCAGAATTACTCTCGACTGGCACAGAGACGGGAAACAGAGTGCAATCCATGCTGTAGTATAAAGTGATTTCTTCTCCTAGTATACTAGTTTATTTTACCCGACTTTATGAAAACATCAAAGCTTCTCTTATTAGTTCCAACCAAATCTCCCAGCCCTAATTAGGGAAATCCCATTTGGTTCAATCTTGAGAAGGAAAGTACAGAAAGAAAGTCAAAAAGAATCGAAGGGGATAATACAGACCTGGCAGTTAAAGAGTTCTTGGATTTACATAGTGAATATAAAAAAACCCACTCTTGTGCAATAAGAAGGCTTCACGTCAGAAATACCTTTAGTCCTCTTTGGACTTTGTTATCAAAGCTGAATATTGTGCAATTTCTGGAAAGCAGGTTAATGAAGGGTATTAGGAACCTTGCAGCCCTCTTACTTCCAGTGCATGAAACGCTGAAAGTAAGCTTCATTTTTATACAAACAAGAATACATCAAAGTCTTGGCTCTAACTCTAAGGTCCAACTCACAATATTTTTCTGCTAGAATCATGTCTTGCATCTACCTATGAGGAGGTGGGAAAGTTAGGCTATCACAATCACCACTGGAAGATCTCTGGTCAAGTGGACTGGTAGGAACTCACAACAGCAAAATGTTTTGCTTTTATTAATTCTGCTGGATGGTATGTCTTAGAAGTAGAGGATGATGGTTCCAATCCTCAAAAAAGCAGAAGTGTCACTGAAGATGGTAATTTTCTAGTTCTGCATATTAGGTAGCTCAGCCTGGTATGCTCAGATGCATTATGAATTGAGTGCCATTTCCCCAAGCTCAGGAGGTAAAATTAATTTTGTCAGAATTTAGGCTGACCATGTACAGAGGTACATTCTATAAATGAGAACCTTTTGACATGACAAAGTGCATACACTGACATGAACTGGGAAAGATCTCTCAGAAAAAAAGCAAGACACCCCCCCCCCCAAAGAGTTCTTTGAGAAAGCAAATAAATATCAAGCTGAATTCGGTTTCAGCTTTGGAGAATTAATCTACAAAAAAAAAAGTGATAAAATGCACCCTCAAATTGTAGACTGACATTCAAGTAAAGCTGTATGTCAAAAACCTGCTGTTAAAGTATGAGAGGAAAGCTCACAAGTGCAATTTACAGCTAGCTGTTATATTACTTAAGTGTTTTGTACTGGCCTACCAGGATCCTGTGCTTTTTCACACTTTAATCAATCTGCCAGAAAAGGTTATATGGAAGTCTGAGATACACTGTCATCACTGTCATCAATATGCTGATGACACCCACCTATACTTCACCTTTTCAACTCAATTAGGTGTGATAGAGGACATTTTGAATCTCCTTCAAGAAAGTACCTCCTTGAGTCAGTAATGGATGGGTTGGGGCTGATAAACTGAAGATTACAAAAAAGATGGGGGGTTTTCCTTGCCATTAGGTTTATAGCTGAGAAAGACATTGGGATAGTTGGCTGGCTTCTAATATTTATGAAATCCATATCCTGGCAGGGAAACTGGTGTATGTATGGATACCATTTATGTGCATCAAGAGATAGGCCTGTAGAACCAACAGTGAGAACTCTTATGATTTCTACAACATCCTGAAGGTAAGCACTAACACATACCCTGGTTATACAGAGCGAGACAAAGACAGAGGGCATACATTTGAAAGTAGGAGGTTAAAAACAGGCACTCCTACCTTCTGGTACTGCTTCCTGGCAATATAACCTCGTGAATATGACTGCAGGACCACAGTGGCTGCTCGTGTGCGGCGATACCGTTTGCGAATAATGTACATGCGCTGGAATTTCTGAATAATGATGGCTGCTCTGGTTCTTCGAAGAAAGGTGGCAAGACTGTACAAAAAAAAAGTGAAAAATAGTTGTTTGCATACAGCCTCCCAAGTAGTATTCAGGCAGTGTCATAACATTACTTTCTCTGAAAAGTTGCCTTTGGACTTTTGTAAGAGAATGGGGGTGAAACCCAAAATCCTCATAATTAAAACTTAAAATTCTAGCACAGCAAAACAGAGTTACAAACTGCTGAAGATCCTGGACAAATTATATGCATGCTTACTTCGGAGTAACTCCACTGAAGCAGTGGGGCTTATTGTGAGAAAGCATGGACAGGATTGATCCTGGTGTTCCTTACCTGATATACTTTAAGATGACACTGTAACCTATGTATATATTCACTTGTACCCCACATCTGTTACTTTGGGGCTACTGATAGGGCTGAGAGTGATCACTGTCCACTTGGCTTAATTTTAAGATTCTCTGATAAACTTTTCCCCACCGATTTAAAGAATCCCACTGATGGAATATTGTTTGGTGAAAGAAGAATCAGATGGTCACCAATGCGCCCTCTAAGCTGTGGAGTCTTGTGAGCAAAAATTCTACTTTGTGAGCGACTGACATTAAAGTTGTGAGCGAGCGATTTGGCTACTGCATAAATAAGTTTGCTCTGGAGCCATTCTGCCTGAGCTAAGACAAGAATCTGTGAGCTGGAGGCTAAAAAACTGTGAGCTAGCTCACACTAACTCAGCTTAGAGGAAACACTGATGGTCACCCCAGTTACGTTCCTCTGTCTCCCAGCTTCTGGAGAGTGGAGCTCTTATGAAGTTGTAACTAGAATTACTGCTGGACAACTCAAACATTCTAAAACGCTACAAGGACACAGTTACAAACATCTTAGACCAATCCTGGTCAGCAACAGGCCCCCATCCGCTAATATTTTCCTCTCTAGAGGCTGGTTTGATCAGGAATGCAGACACCACAGGAACAAGCTAATAAGATTCTCACAACAGGTGCGATCTAACAAGAGTGGGTCATCCATGGATTCCTTAATCACTATGAGACCTGCCCACAAAGAGCTTCTGAAGCAAAAGATCGCTTATGCTAGATCCCAATGGCAAGAGTTTGGTACAGCAGTACATTAAAAAAATGAGCCAGGGTTTTGGTTTCCTCAGGTATGGATAATACATCCTCACTGTTGCATGGCCAGATTTTGGCCAAAGACTGTCACTCTCACTTTAGCCAAATCTCTGGGGCTCCCTCTTTATCAGCTGACATTGTTAAGCAATCCTGGGTTTTGCCCCTTTTGATTATGGGGATGACCATACTTCCTTTCCAACCAGAGGGGAGAGGTCCAGAATAATTTATCTGTGTGAACACCTTAGCCGACACTGAGATCATTGGTGGGCCCCAGTGTCGGCTAAGGTGTTCACACAGATACATTATTCTGGACTTCTCCCCTCTGGTTGGAAAGAACTGTTGTTGGGTGTGGCCTATTATGCTAATGAGTTCCTGCTGGGCTTTTTCTACAAAAAAAGCCCTGGTTGAGATACAAAAGTGTTTAAAAGTTTACAGTGAAGTATATGCCTAACAGTGACACACGTGAAACACACAGAATGAAAATAGGGTATTGTCCAGGATGTTGCTTCAAGTGTATGGATGAGCAGTCCTGTATATTTGGGTGGTTGTGTTTTCCACAAGGACAGTAGTTCTCAGTTCTCTCTCTAAGGGGGAGGACATCTTAGGAAGGGTGGCTCCCATCAATCAGACACTCTCCGGAATCCTGTTGATGTAGATTTCGTGTAATATCCCTGCTGTTGTGTTCCTGGATTTATGTGGCAAGGCCTCTCTGGAAGACGAAAGTACTCTTCAAATTAGGAATTTCCTTGGGGAAAGTAGTCTCTTTGAAATGGTGTGTATTTTGATAGTGGAGTTGCTGGACATCAGAAGGTCTGTCTGGTACTCCGCCCCCTTTGCTGCCCTCCTTCGCACAGTCCCCACTGCTGAATTGGTGACTCTTGTGTGTGACTGTTTCTTTCACTCCCAGGCTTCTCGCCGTTCTGTCCCATGTATTGAATGGGTGCCCCACCAAGGTCCTATTACTAACCTGATAACCACTTGGCTTTTTATACTTGTCATGAGAAGAGTGTTGAAGTGCGTTGCCGTGCCCAGAATATGGTGGTACTCCTGGCTGTGTTCTGCAGCTCCTGTCACCTAACCACTCTCTTCTGCGTTTGTGTGTGTTTTCCTTTCTGTGCTACTGTGAAATGCCTCTTAAAGAAAGCCACAGTCTTTGTGGATGTGGCTTCATTTCAGGCTAATAATAATAATAATAATAATAATAATAATAATAATAATAATAATAATAATAATAATAATAATAATAATAATAATAATAATAATAATAATAATAATAATAATATTTACTAATCTCCCCATGTCAGTTCACGACCAGCTCTGGGCAGTGTACAAGGCAAATGCCATAAAATATACAAAAACATTAAACATTCAATTAATAGCTTGATAAAAATCACAGTACAAAGGAAATAGTGCAAGATGGCGTTTTTCCTATAATATTGTTTGCCCCAATTCCGGACTGCCAGGCAATGTTCCCTCTAAGGTGTGGAGTCTTGTGAGCAAAAATTCTACTTTGTGAGCTACTGGCCTTAAAGTTGTGAGCGAGCGATTTGGCCACTGCATAAATCAGTTTGCCCTGGAGCCCCCCTTCCTGAGCTAAGACAAAACTGTGTGAGCCAGAGGCTGAAAAACTGTGAGCTAGCTCACACTAACTCAGCTTAGAGGGAACACTGCTGCCAGCCCCTTTTCCGGGTCGGGGGAAAGGGAATTCAGAGCAAAAAAGAGAGGCAGTTGGGAGTAAGCAGTGAAGTGGCTAAATCTGTGGATGATACGAAGTTGTTCAGGGTGGTGAAAACCAGTGAGGATTGTGAGGCACTCCAAGGGGATCTGTCAAGGATGGGCGAGTGGGCGTCAACATGGCAAATGGGGTTCAATGTGGCCAAGTGCAAGGTGATGCACATTGGAGCCAAAAATCCTAACTATAAATACACGTTGATGGGGTCTGAACTGGCAGAGACTGAGCAAGAGAGAGATCTTGGAGTTGTAGTAGATAACTCACTGAAAATGTCGAGACAGTGTGTGACTGCAATAAAGAAGGCCAATGCTATGCTGGGGATTATTAGGAAGGGTATTGTAAACAGATCAGCCAATATCATAATGCCCCTATATAAATCAGTGGTGAGACCTCATTTGGAATACTGTGTGCAGTTCTGGTCACCACACCTTAAAAAGGATATTATAGCTTTGGGAAAAGTGCAGAAAAGGGCAACTCGAATGATAAAAGGGTTGGAACACTTTCCCTATGAGGGTGCTTAGGGCTCTTTAGCTTTGAGAAAAGACGACTGAGGGGTGACATGATTGAGGTTTACAAGATTATGCATGGGAAAGAGCAGGTAGAGAAAGAGGTACTTTTCTCCCTTTCTCACAATACAAGAACTCGTGGGCACTCCATGAAATTGCTGAGCGGTCGGGTTAGAATGGATAAAAGGAAGTACTTCTTCACCCAAAGAGTGATTAACACATGGAATTCACTGCCACAGGAGGTGGTGGCGGCTACAAGCATGGACGGCTTCAAAAGGGAATTAGATAGGCATATGGAGCAGAGGTCCATCAGTGGCTATTAGCCACAAGGTATAGATAGGGGCTCTGGAGCAAGTGATGCTCTGTCTTCTTGGTGCTTGGGGGGGCCAACAGTGGGAGGGCTTCTAATGTCCTGGCCCCACTGGTGGATCTCCTGATGGCACTTGGTATTTTGGCCACTGTGTGACAGAGTGTTGGACTAGATGGGCCTTTGGCCTGATACAACATTGGCATCTCTTATGTTCTTATGTTCTTAAAGTATAGTCATCCCCATATTCAAAGGGGGCAAAAAACAGGATCCACAAAATTATCGTCCCATTAGCCTGTTGGATATTACTTCCAAGCTTTATAGCAAATTTCTTCTGGGAAAGCTGGAGGAATGGGAAAAGGCTAATCAGGTTATTTACCATGAACAAGCTGGTTTCAGAAAGAGCCAATGTACCCTCAATCACTGTCTGATTGCGACACTACACTATCTTGCTACACACTGTATTAAGGATACCACCAGACATCTCTATGCAGCTTTTGTTGATCTAGAAGCTACTTTTGAAACAGTGGCTACAGAAAGACTTTGGTTCAAGCTGGCATGCACCAACACTGATAAACGTCTTTTGCTCTTGACAAGGGAACTTCATTTTGATGTGTCTGCCAAAATTAGAGCAGGGATCTTTAGCTCCCTGACATAATATTTCTATGACTAGAGAAGTGAAACAAGGCTGTGTTCTTGCCCCTTTGCTTTTGATATTAATGATATTATTAAGAAGCTCTCTGGTCTAGATTTTTGCCCTCCCACCTTTGGTTCTCAGAAAATTTCAATTTTTATGTGTGCAGATGATATGGTTCTGCTGTCTCTTACTTGCAATGGCTTAAGAAGATTGCTGTGCTGGTTTAGCAACTATTGTAAAGAAGAGTCCTTAAATATCAGCTATTCAAAGACCAAGGTGATGGCCTTTGGTTCGCATCAAAGTAATTTCCACTGGTCAATTGATCATTTTTCAGTTGACCAATGCAGAAGCTTTAAATATCTGGGTATTACCTTTAGTGATGCTCTTTCTTGGAAGGCCCCTTTGGTTTCTACAAAATCGTCCGGACAAAGGGGACCATCCTAAAATTTTATTGCACTAAAGGGTGCTTCTTGATTGGGCCTGCTCTGAAAAAGTCTGAAAAAATCGCTCAAGTTCTTTACGGTGTAGAAGTCTGGGGATGAAATGACGCCCTGATTGCTAACCTGGAGAAAATTCAGAACCTCTTTATGAGAAAGCTCTTGGCACTTCCCCACAGCACTCCTGCTGCTTTGGTGAGAGCTGAATTAGGACTTCCATCCATTCGGGCCCATGTGCACATTGCGCTAATTAACTATTGGCATAAACTAAGGAGAATTCCAACTAGTCCTCTTTCGAGTCTCTGTTTTACTCTATTCCAACAAGATCAGATTACTAATTATAACAAAACATCTTAATACGCCATCGTAAGCAACGAACTGCAGAACTGAATAGAACCTTATGATTTTATGTTTTAACTTATTATGAAATGATGTATATTGTTTTATCGGTTTTATTGGCAAATGGGCCACTGCTGTAGCCGCCCGAGGGTGGGGTATAAATTGAATTAATAAAACAAACAAATAAATAAAAATCCTTCATAAATATAATAAAATCCTTCTTCTTCTAAGTTGCTTGATGTTATTCGAGCAGTCACTCCAACTGACTTCAACTGTCGGACCTGGGTATTAGCGCATGATGCCATTTTTGACAGGCAAGTTATTTTAAGTTCCAAATTCTCTCCTTGTTTTAAATTAAGTAAAAAGGATCATAACAGAGCACACTATCTATCCAACATTACCTTCTACAAACTTTGTTCAGCCCTCACAGCCATTCGTTTCCACACTATGCAATCCACCATGCTTGTAGGATGTTATATAAATAAACCAGTGGAACAGTGTCTATACATCTGTGGAGCCCCAGAACTGGAAGAGCTTTCCCACTATCTGCCTTTCTGTCCCCTATATAGAGTCCCCAGGCAAAAAAATTTAGATTCAATCTTGGCCAGTTTAGGCCCAATTTCTACAACAGAGAAAATTTTATTTCTTCTTCTGGAGATAGTACCTTCAGTATCTATTGAGGTTGCTCTTTTGCCCTAGCTGCTAAGAACATTCAGTCAAGATTACAGCTTGCAGCCTAGGCTAATGGTTTGTGATAGTTCCTTTTATTGTTGGCTGAATATTCACAGGTTTTATAGAATTAATTTTAGTAAAATAATTTTAACTGTTCTGCAATAGCCTCTTTTAGCACTGTCTGGAAGCAACCTGGTTTAATGTTTTTCTATTTTGTTCATGTTTGTTGCTTAACCTCTTTTTATTTCTTGGTTGTAAACTGAGTTTGTAATAGCCTTTGGCCCCATGCAATAAATCTGATTTTTTTAAAATGTACCTATATATATAGAAGACAACCTGTGAATATCATCCAGTCTCTGTTCAGCTCTGGTTATTTCTCCCCTCCAGTTTCTTATACCAATATTTTTAGAATTTTACATTGATTTTACTGTTGTTTATTTATATTGGTTTTAAATTCTGTTAGCTGTTATATGACATCTAACTTATTTAAATCAAGTTATTCTACATTGTTAGCCGTCTCAAGCCATGTTTGCTGTAGGAGAGACAGGATATAAATTTGAAAAATAAATAAGTAGACAACAAGAGAACTGAAAGTTGACCCTTAGCATGTGGAAAGTCAATTTCTTCAGAGTAGGCACTATGGATGTGAACAGGTCCTTTCAAGCACTTTCAATTTGCCTCATCTTTGCTGCCTTTGACCAGAGTCCAAACACTGCCCCTAAAATCAGAGAAGATCTTCATAGGCCTCTTTCTTCCTCTCCTAAAACTACTCCTGTTCTGACATGGGCCCAGCTAACCTGTAAAAGCCAGGAAGAGTCAGACAATGGCAACCATGTCCTACCTGGCCTGTTGGTATGCTTATTTTTTCTGCTCAATCACTGAACCAGCGTCTAAGGAAACATTTTCTGAGATCCTTGATGACTGAAATTCTCTTTTGGAAGTCCAAACAAACAAGATACTGAAAATACAGCATTCGTATTCTGTTCTTAGCTCAGTTTACAACCCTTCAAGCCTCCAGGCATTTACTGTGGTCCACACCAGGCACTCACCCGCCTTGTTTTTATAATCCCAGCTGGGTAGCAAAAACAAAGAGTATTTGAGTACGGCTGCCAACTCCAACTTGGGAATTCCTGGAGTTCTGGGGGGTGATGCCTGAGGAACATGGTGTTCAGTGGGGATGTGATGTCATATAGTCTGCTCTCCAAATATGCTTATTTTTTCTGGTCAATCACTGAACCAGCGTCTAAGGAAACATTTTCTGAGATCCTTGATGACTGAAATTCTCTTTTGGAAGTCCAAACAAACAAGATACTGAAAATACAGCATTCGTATTCTGTTCTTAGCTCAGTTTACAACCCTTCAAGCCTCCAGGCATTTACTGTGGTCCACACCAGGCACTCACCCGCCTTGTTTTTATAATCCCAGCTGGGTAGCAAAAACAAAGAGTATTTGAGTACGGCTGCCAACTCCAACTTGGGAATTCCTGGAGTTCTGGGGGGTGATGCCTGAGGAACATGGTGTTCAGTGGGGATGTGATGTCATATAGTCTGCTCTCCAAAGCTCCCATTTCCTCCAGGGGAAACTGCTCTCTGTACTCTGGGGTTCAGTTGTAACTCCAGTCTCCACCATAAGAACCCTAATATTAAGCCTTGAGTAGGCTGCAGTCAGCTTGGGGATCACAGACAGTGCAGCTTGATGTATATTTATACCAAGCAGTACAGGGAGAAAACCTGAAAATTCTGATGAGTGCTCTATTTAAAGCCATCTGCAATGAGATCAAAGTGAGCTCCCCAGGTGTGCAGCTCACCATCGTGCCTGGTATCCTCTGACGTATCTCTGGATAGTGATGGCTGCCTTCCTCATGCGGAGGTACTTCTTCCTCATCAGCCACCCCCTGATGGTCTTCTGGATGCGGACACAAGCGGCTCGGAGTTTATCCGACCTTATTTTTTCCAAATAAGCTACTTGGCCAGCACGGAAAAATATTTTCGTCTTCCCAAACTGGTACTTATCTGTGTCCTATTTTCAAAATGAAATGTACAATCAGTGACAAACTGGGAAGGAAGGAAGGAAGGAAGGAAGGAAGGAAGGAAGGAAGGAAGGAAGGAAGGAAGCTCAGTGATATCAAAATTAGCAGAGAGGCAAGAAAGAAACCCCAATAGTGAATTCTGGAAATTAAATAAAGGAGCAGGATTTTTAAAAATCCTATTATATCCCGTAGCTTTACAGAATTGAAGTATTTAGGGAAACACAGAATGTTAAGTACAGAGAAGGGCAACCAAGATGATTAGGGGGTTGGAGCACCTTCGCTATGAGGAAAGGCTGAAGACTCTGAGACTTTTGAGTTTAGAAAAGAGATGACTGAGGGGGGACATGATAGAGGTTTATAAAATTATGCATGGGGTGGAGAGAGTTGACAAAGATAAATTTTCTCCCTTTCCCAAAATATTAGAACATGTGGGCATCCAAAGGAGCTGATGGGCAGTAGACTCAGGATCGATAAAAAGAAATACTTCTTTACACAGAGAGTGTTTATAATGTGGAAATCACTGCCAGAGGATGTAGTACTGGCTATAGGAATAAACAGCTTTAGAAGGGGATTAAATAGATCCATGGAGGATATGTCTATCATTGGCTACTAGCTATGGTGACTGAGGGGAACCTCCACATTCAGAGGCACTAAACCTCTGAATCCCAGTGCCAGGAGGCAACATCAGGGGAAGGCCTTGGCATCTGTGCTGTGCTGTTGGCCCTCCAGAGGAACAGGCTGGTCACTGTGTGAGACATGAGGCTGGACAAGGTGGACCACTGGTCTGATCCAGCAGGGCTCTTCTTCTGTTTTGGGAGATGTACTTTTTAAGAGCAAAGCTGGCCATTTTAAGTTTCTGCAATCATTAAGGATTTAAACCTTTTGGACAAAAGCAATCAATAGGCAACAAATTCTGTTAATCGGATTTCTGTTTCACCCCTGTTAGAAACTGTCATGAGTGCAACTTTAAATGGAACGGTAATATGGAAATGGTTTTTAAAAAGAATAAAAGCCCAGGGCACTCATTTAGATTCCACCCTCTTTTATCTTTTCACAGATCCCCTCCATGCCGATCTGCCAGTATAAGACACTAATAGATTACTGAAATGAATAGGAAGGTCCCTGGGAACAGATTTTTTTGAAGCACCGTAACGTTACTACCAGAATCAGCTTCTCCAGGACATTTTTACACGTCTGCTTCCTGTCCCCGAGGACATCTTTCTGTTTCATCAGGACACGATAGCGGCTGAAGAATTCTTGATATGTCCACCTAGTTTCAAGAAGCAAAATGGTGTTAGCTGAATCTCACACACACACACACACACACACACACACACACACACACACACTGTCTCCTTATCCTTCCAAACATCTTGACCCCCCACAGGCTTACCTTGAGGGGAAACCTGCAGCGCTAATTCGGATGGTTTCCAGCACACCACAAGCTCTAAGCTGCTGTACAGTCCGCTTTTCATCAAACCTATATATAAAAATATTGTTAAAAACATGTCTTCTCGATTGGAAGGTCTGGTGTAGTTCAAAATGATGCAAAGCGAGTGCTTGAGGCAGAACGGTGGACCAAGTGGGTCCACTAATTGGTAGGGAGCAGAAAAGGCTCTAGTAGTAGCTTGCTAAGAAATAAACGGAGACCTCCACCAATAATAGTAGTGATGCAATGGTAACAGGAGGGTCAAATGCAGTCAACTGGATTGCACCATTCACTCCTCAAAGGATTCACATACATATATTACGTTTACGTCCTGCCCTTTCTCCGAAGAGATAACAGTGGCCGATATGAGGTTTTCCCAGTTGCATCCTCACAAAAACAGTGTGTGGTAGGCTAGGCTAGGCGGTAGTGGCTCACCCAGGACACTTGTGGTCCAGCCCTGATCTGATTCCACATCTCACCCTTTGAATTCCACCATTTAATCCACAATCCTGCATGGGCATTCTGACACGGACAGAGCTCAGAAACAGGCACAGATGGCAGTTCAACTAGGCATGATTACTGATGTACCAGAAGAAGAGTGTAGAACGAGACATTGCTTGCTCAGAGGAGCCGCCTTGGTGCTGCTGCTGCACTACAGCTGGCTCACCCAAATATAAACATGGGCCAGTCAGAAGTGACATCAGGCCAATGTCACGATGGGAGCAACGTAACCAACAAGGGCACAGTTCATGTACCTTGCCCTGGGCTACCCCAGGCACAGAAATACCTAGTTATGCTACTTTCTGGTCTCCCACTACCTCAAGATCTAACGTCCAGCAAGGCAGAGGCTAAGAGTTCACCATCACAAATAACTGTAATAGCAGCCAGGAGGTGGACTATCCACGTACCTATTTGACAAATCTCTGCTATCGGTCTGGTACAAGATTTATTAGTGGTTGATCATGCTTTGGATTCAGCTTGTGAAAACAACAGGGGGACACGGGTCCTGGGCATGTCCTGGGCTCCATATCGCTGTTCAGGGCTTTGCTAGAGAAAAGCAGGGAAAGCGCCAGAGGGAGGAAGGGTGCTCCTAGTCTATTAGAAAGCTTGGAAATCTTTTCCGTGGCCGGCCTGCGACTGCGCAGTCCCCCCATGTGGGACTGCACAGAAGCCACGGCGATGAACATGACTTTCCACTGTGCCTCTTTCGTTTGAAAACTAGAGCCAATGTCTGCGCTGCCAAAATGCTCCTGCAGACCATGCATTACAGAAATCCAAAATACAGAAAGGATTTATACTTTTCGCCAGCTTGCAAGTAATTCCTGGATTCTCTTCATAAACATGGCTGACTCACAAGCAGATGTGAAAAGAAATCATTACATTCCAGCACAGAATGATCTCACAGGAGCACAAACTGTAAAGTGTCCTGACCTGCAAGATACATGTCTACGCCCAAGAAGCCTTCCATGTCCTGTCCCAAACAAGCGGTAGCATGTGCAGGCTTTTTTCCTACTGTACTTCTGATAGACAAGCATCACACTTTACGTAATGTGCAAGCCAACTTACATGAATGGAAATTTGAAGTCATTTGGCTTAATACACCGGACGTAATGTGGAGTTGTGGCATTAAGGGTCTCCATCAGGAGCTGCAGAGAATTTCGAAACTACAGCAAAGAGAACAAAAAAGAAAACTGAAACAGAAAAACAGAGAATCGTTCTCTGGCCGCTTTCTGACCTGCCTCATTCTATAGGCTGCAGAGCTCCTCGGCCCAGCCACGTGAAAGAACTTTCCAGGCAAATGTAAGCCACAGCACTAAATAATGCAGGGCCACCTATGGTCTGCATCTCCCGTATTGATTGAATCGATTTGCCCTGGGTTTATTTCAATCTTCCAGGAAGTCAAGTATCCCATACTTAAAGTGATGTTTTACTGCGGGGCGCTAGTGTCTGTCTGGGCTAGCTGACTGCTAGGCAACAAAATATCTCCATTTGATAAATGACACAAGGATTAATCTAGATTAATTGCTGTGTAAATTGAACAAAGTTTTATTCAAAGTTTTATTCAAAGTGTAAGCTTCGGTGTGCAAAGCACACTTCTTCAGACAAATTGCCTGTGTAAACTGTGTAAAGAGTTATAGCATCTCTTCCCTCTTCCTGCCCTATATCATAAGGGATACCCCTGATCACAGAACTACACATTCCACAACTACACACAGCCGAAAGGGTGGCTGCAGTAATGGCAGCAACTAATTTCACCGACCTGATGCCCCACTGTTTTCTTATGTTCTTTGCTTGCTTGGGCTGTCTTAGACTTGGTTGGTTTAACAGCTGTTCGAGACAACGGTGTGCGGCCGGAGGGTGTTGCCGAAGTGGGGCTGATGGCCTTCACGTCCAGAAACAGCTCAGACAGCATCTTAAGCTGGTTCAGACACAGGGAATAAAAACGTCATCTCTGAATTAGAGAGAGGGAGGGAACTCCAAAGGGCAGTGAAAAGGAGGAACCAAAAGGGAAGCGGGAGATCGTCTCAAACAAGATAACATCCTAAGCTTTACCGTGCTCCAGTGACTAATCTGAAAAACCGTGGGAGAAATTTAGCCTCTAATTTTGCTTCGCAAGAACAAGTCGATGTAAATAAGCATACCTTCTTCATTTACCTGTAGTAATTATTTATTCTGTTTTAGGGTTCCTATCTATCGAAGGCTTTTTTCATTGGTCCATTTGACATGCTCCCTTTGGCAGAACTTCATGGTACATTTGCAGGGATCCCCCGGGAGCAAAGATAATGCACACGGGCAGCTCAGATGGTGGAGATCTCCTGCATTTTCCCCTGCAATCTGTATACTAAACCCAGCGCTTCCATGCTACTTCTGGGAATTTATCCTTAACATTCTGTGGATTATCATCTTTTAAACATTCTTTCAGGTAATGATAGAAAGGTTACAAAAGCGGTCCCTAAATACATTTAAATCCCAGCTCTGAGCATTCACACCAAAGTATTGCTGCCTTCAGGATGGAGTTCAATTTTACCTTTACGTACAAATATATGTTGTTCTGAATGAATCAAAGAATCACAGAGTTGGAAGAGGCCATACAGGCCATCTAGTCCTATCCGCTGCTCAATGCAGGGATGTATTAATTCTTTTCATATGAATTTATTTTATATATTAAACATAGTTTTATAATCTCCTTGTATAATAGAGACCCGATAGCTTCATTTTGAGAGTCCAACAAGCCAGTGGGCTTTTTGGACATTTTCCTAGAATAAAACGAGAGAAAACTTTCTTCATAGAAGTCAGACAACATTTACCTGATCTTAAATTAGCAGCACAGATGTTACATACATGGTCTCCTAACTAAAATTAGGAAGATTACAGCCAAAGAGAAATTTAAGAGAGCATGCTGTAGAAAGTGAAGCATCACACGTCCCACGTAACGGTTTAATCAGTGGAATACACTGAAGTTGCCATCACTGCAGTCATGCTCACTCCTAAACTGGAAAGTTTGATATTCCAATTTTCCCCCTTTCTGGGTAATGGGATTCTTCCCCCCCCCCCGGCTCCACCACTGTAGACCATGGAAAACAATGTAGTCAGTAGTCACCAGGCAAAGATATCCCATCACTGAGGAAAAGTGGATTCAGGTGGAACACAACCACATTCAAATGTCTCAAAAGAGTCTCACCGAAGTGAAACGTGCCAACTAAGAAGAAAAACAAGCCAAGAAAACAAAGCACTTCACAAGTCAGGGAAACAAAGCAATTCACATGCCAGGTCAGGCTTGGTGTTGCAGAAGGGTGGCTAACAATCTAAATGGAACCACCGCTTTGGATCTTTTGCTGATCCGTAACAAAGGCAAAGAAGGGAAGCAAGACCTATGGCGGGGCATGCTTTGGCAGGCTGAACATTTGTAGGAACAGGCAATGTGTGTTTCCGTGCGATGCCATTTGGGGAAGTATGTTTTTGCCTTGCACTGGCCAACTGCACCCTTTTTTCACATGCTCGGGTGCAAAACGTCTAACTGCTGTGCCGCTTGCAAATGCCAGCAATCTTGGACACCGTTGCAGGAAGGCCTCACAGTCAATGAGGTCGACTGAAGCATTAACTGTGTACAAGCAGGCACCTAAGAATGTGTCCACACCAGCCCTTTTGTCGCATGTCACTGCATTTCCTTTTTGTCCCTCACTTCAAACACTTCCAGTTCCAAATGCACATCCTCCTGCCAGAATTGCAGGCTTGGTTTTTGTTTTTTAAATTAAAAAGAATACTAAATTTGCAAGAACTGTACCTATGCAATTGTACGCCCCTCCAAAATGTTATATGCAGTGTGCCGAAAAAGTGGGGAAGGGGCTTGAAACGGAATTGTGAAGTATCTAATTTTAGTTTCTAGGTGAATGAGTGCACATCTGCCACTTTTAAAAACTAGAACGATACAACAAAGAATGGCAGAGCTGCACAAGATCCAGGAACAAGGGCAGAACATCTGTGTGTCCAGATCAGTTCCAACAAACATTTTAAAAGTCCATAAAGTATCCCCATGTTGAATGTTTAAGAGTCACAAAGATTGACCAATCATGGAATGCGGTCCAGACGACACCAGTTTTTTTAGTAGCAGAATCACACGAACACTGCTGGTGTGGACACCCGATCGGTGATCAGAATTTTAAACTATGGTTTCAAGATTACCTTCTGGAGAAGGAGATGGATGATGAAAAACAAGGCAGACAAATAAGAAGTCAGAAAGCTAATGCATACAGCCATCTAGTTAGGTAATCTTAAAAAATAAAGAAGAATTGGAAAAAATTAAGCTGTTTGCGCCCCCCCCCCCTTCTGCTTCCAAGCCTTCATGGTTGCTTTAAAACAATTAACAGTGTCATCCAAATAAAAATGAGTTTAGACATCAATTGAACCACAAAATCAAATTAAAAGAAACAGTAGCAACAACATGACAGCAGTAAGAAAAAAAAATAGATCCACTGAATGCTCAAGGAAACAAAACAGCTTTTAGTCAGGACTTTTAAAAACAGGGTAGGTGCCGAATGAATGTTTCTGGGGAGGATATTTCATAATTTGTGCCTCAACCTTATCCTTGGTCACACAGACCCCCAACTCTGATGGGGAGAGGGCACAGTAAAGAACTAGCTGGTAGATTACAGTAGAGGGCGGTCCTTCAGATGCCCTGGCCCCAGTCTGTTTAGAGCTCCACAGATTAAAACCAGCACTTTGCATTGGACCTGGAAGCTAAGTGAAAGCCACCAAAGACTTTTCAATGCTCACTATAGATGACAAGTCCCAGGTAAGAAGAATCCATCTGCTGTATTCAGAACCAGCTGATATTCCAAATAGCTCTTCGAAGGCATCCCAACGTATAAATCATTACAGTAATTCAGCCTGACGTTATGGAAGCATGGATATCTGTGGAAAAGTTGTTGTGGCTAGCGCACCCAACCCAAACAGGTGAAAGGCAGTTTGTGCCATGAATGCCACTTGGGTTACCTGAAACCAGGCTCATATTTAATAGCTACATTGAGCATCAAATGTGATCTGAGAGGGCGGGGGGGGGGAGAAACCTGGATTTAATGCTGTTTAGAAGGGAAGGTAGTAAGACTTCAGTATGGTGTGCTGATATAGCAAAGGTCAGTTTAAGTAAATTACAGAGGATATGTTTGAGGATATGAAAGAAACAGTGATACACAAAGAGTAAGTCCAATATTAAATCATTGGATTTAAGGGAGGGGAAAAATCCCGTCCTCCTTGCAAGGGAGACGGGATGCTGTACACCATGCTCCTCTCCTCCACTTATCCACACAACTACCCTGTAAAGTAAGTTAGGCCAAGAAAGAGGGACTGGCCCAAGATCACTCGGTGACATTCATGGCTGAGTGGGAATGAAAACCTGGAGTTTCCCAATCCTAGCCCAACCCACTACCCACTACACTACAATGACACTCTGTGGTGACACTACATCTAATGCTAAAGTATCGTGTCATTCATAAATATCATACATGAGTGAGGCAATATCTTTTAGTATCAAGGGAAAAATCTCTATACTAACCTTACTTGATTTTAGAACTTGGATTTGTTCTTCATAGACAGTGTCTTTGTTTTTTTCCAAAAACCCTTCACACTGATACTCCACCTGGAAAGACAAATACCAACTTTTACAAGACAAAAAAGGTACATATTTCACACACACACACAAACACACACACACACACACACATATATATATATATATATAAAATCTCAAAAGTGTTCTATCAGAGCAAAAGCCTCTCTTGTAACATCTAGGAAAACTCCTGTAAGATCACCAGCCTTGCAGAGATTTACTTATTAGACTTATATCCCACGCTACCCCACAAGTGGGCTCAGGGTGGTTACAACATATAAGAAACACAACAACATTGAAACATATAATGTAAAAACCAAATTCAAATTTAAAATTTAGAACAATCAGAGCAAGATGCCAACGAAAACAAACAACTTCAAGGCAGTCCATAATGTCTCCTGCAGGATGTTAGTCAGATGATAATAGCACCAATGTTCCCTCTAAGCTGTGGAGTCTTGTGAGCAAAAATTCTGCTTTGTGAGCTACTGGCATTAAAGTTGTGAGCGAGCGGTTTGGCTTCTGCATAAATCAGTTTGCTCTGGAGCCCTCCTTCCTGAACTAAGACAAAAATGTGTGAGCTGGAGGCTAAAAAACTGTGAGCTAGCTCACACCAACTCAGCTTAGAGGGAACACTGAATAGCACCCCATTTTATTATTACAGTGCTCTGTTGACATTCTTGGAGCAGAATAGCATAGGAAGCAGATGGTTATGAGCAGGGGAGGCCGAGATGTTTGAGTGTCCGCCGCCTCAACCAAAGGCCTGGTGGAACAGCTCCGTTTTATGGGCCCTGTGGAACTGTACTAAGTCCCACAGGGCCCTGATCTCAGATGAGAGCATATTCAACCAGGCCGGGGCCAGGGCAGAAAAGGCCCTGGCCCTGGTCAAGGCTAAGCGAACATCTTTTGGGTCAGGGACTACCAGGAGATGTTGATCTGCAGAGCACATATGGGGAGAGACGGTCCCATAGGTATGCTGGTCACTGGTCACATAGGGCTTTAGAGGTCAATAGCATAACCTTGAACCAGATCCAGTAATCAATTGGCAGCCATTGCAGTTGGGGTAGCACTGGCTGAATGTGCGCCTGCATAGACGCTGCCGTCAGCAAGTGTGCCACCACATTCTGCACTAGCTGCAGTTTCCGGATCAGGTACAAGGGCAGCCCCGCGTAGAGCGAGTTACAGTAATCCAGCCTGGAAGTGACCATTGCATGGATCATTGTAACTAAGTCCTGGGAGTTGAGACAGGGAACCAGTTGCCTGACCAGCCGGGGAATTATAGAACCCTAACCTGGCAAATACAAATGCCGCTTTCAAGACAGGCTACTGTTACAAATGGCAGATAAGCTTTGCTAATAAGGTATCTGACACCTCTAATAAGATTCTGACACAAACTGTGGATTCTCTAATGTAATAATTAATCTGCCTTCTGATGCTGTAGCATAGATAAGTCAGGTCTCATAAAGATATGCAAGATTCAGACTAGACCTAAAGCCAGGAGTTCCAAGACCAGAGCTCCAAAGTGGTTTTCTTTTTCTAAACAGCAGCCATACAAGGCCTCTGTTCGAACTGGGACCACAGGAAGAGGGAGGAGAAGGGGGCTATAGTCCTTCCTCCCCTGCATTGTTTTCTTGACCAAAAGCAGCTCCACAAATCTATTTCCCCCAAACAATCCACACAATGCTTCCATGTTGGCCCCCAACAGGGCAAACATCAACTGTATGATGCTATTTCAGTTCAGGAACATCACAAGGGGGAAAGTACGTAGCCTTCCTTCCCCATAATCGTGGTCCTAGCTCAGCTACTGTTTAGACTGGATAAGCCACTTGGGAGGGCTGATCACAGAATCACCAGCACCACATCAAATGCCACTCTAGGACAACAGCATTTCCTAAATGAATGCAAAAATCCTTTGTACATAATTAAATTGGCAAACCTCCTCTGTACGACGTACAAATTGTAGTCTGAAATCTCTTAACTCGACACAGCCTCACCGAAATATTGATCGATTTAAGCTCAAATTAAAGTTCTCCAGTATGAGCTGCAGCGAAAAACCCACAGAAAGGTCTTTAAAATACAGCTAAATGGGTTCAACGAGATGATGGCGGTACAGCCTGGCTAAAAGAAGCATTCAGCATAAGGACCGTCACCCTTTGTCAGGCAGAAAACAAGACACTCTTACCTTGTCTGCAAAGTGCTGGATGATGAACGCTTTGTTCGACAGTCGGGGCTTCTCAAAGAGTGCTGTTTTATTCAAATGAGTATTGTACAATTTCTGGGCCCAGCTATTATCAGAACCTTTGGGCATCTAAAGAGGGGGTAAAGTCAAGTGATTTTTAATGACCTGCCATTACTCTGAAATATATGAAACAACAGCCAGTTGACAGGTGAGGGGAAAATCCTGCCGTTTTTGGCATTAAGTTTATTTCAGTTCCAGACACAAATGCAAGCAGGGTCAACAACTTGTTTTGTTGGTGCTCACAAACAGAACGATGCTTCTTATTTGTAAATGCTTCTTTAAATATCTGAATACCATTATATACTGGGAAGAGCCATTTTTTCATTCTTAGGTCAGGATCTGTATCCGACAAAAACTCCCTCATGTGGGAGATTTGTTCACACAATGCATTTCTTGTCTACAAGAGCAAGGAGAAGTAAGCAAATAAAAGGAAAACATGTATGTAGGGTACAAAAAGAACCCTAAACAGATACGATGAGCAAAGTAAGAATGGTCTCTGCCCTCGAAAGCTTGTGATTCCAGTTCATGTCAAAATTCAATGCCAAAGAGTGAAGCGGCCTAATCAACACAGTGGGTTGGATTCCTTCCTTCCTCCACCAGAGCAAGACTCCTCACTTAGCAGAACGGAATCACAGCATCCAGGGCAAGGCTTTTAATGGTGGAGCCAAAGTCTGTGCCGTTTCTAAAAAGAATTTTCAGCAGCCCAGGTCTAGGCATATTTACTTGGATGAGAAAATCCCCATGGATCTGACAGGGCTCACCCCAAAGCAAGCCTACACAGGAACGTGGCCCAAGGACACCCTTCAGACATTCTCTTGCTGGCTCTTGCCAACAACGCAGCATGAGCTCATGTGGGTGGAAGTCATGGGAGCAGCTCCGAGAGCAGCAGAAGCAGCCATGCAGATAACAAAACCTCTAAAAATAGGGGGTCAAGAGACTGTCTGCCAAGACATCACGAGAGGCCGTGAACTCAAAGAAGAGTTTCCTACAGACTTAACACCTGCGTACTTTCTGTGCAGGAAATCTGTAACATTTGCTATTAATAGGCAACATAGCCACCATGTATCCCCTAATCCAAATCTCCCCAGTAACATTTAGTAAAAGAAATATGTGGCGTCATCTCGGTCAGTATTTCCCACCCCTTGCAAGATGCCCTTGTGCTGGGATTTTAAAAAATGATGAACATGACGACATCATTTTGAGCATTTCTGTTACTAGACTTTACTTGGAAGACACATGGGAGAAGATGTGGATTGTCAGCAGTCAGGTATTCTGTAACATGTAATTAGACCCACGGGCAAAAAGTGACAGAGCAGAGGCTACTTCTGGGGAAAGGACAGTATTGACAGACGTTGTATCCAATGCATTTTATCCTCTTATAACTACCAGTCCTCTTGTAACTACTAACTAGCAGTCAAGTTAAATAGCCACATCTGTGCAACAGGATCAGCCCCGGCCTCTATTTAAGGTTCTGCAAATGTGGGGGGAAACCCACAGGTTTACAAAAAACAAATCAGACATCTGAAAAAGGGGGGAAGGGGGGGGATAAAGCCCCAAAGCCATAAATATGCATGCACAGATGCTGCAGACAGCAAGTGGTTGAACCTGGACCCCATTTTGAGTTGCCACAGCAATGGGGAGGAAATGGGATTTTCCTTCCCCTGTGATTCCTCATAGGTTCCTCTCTTGTATATATATCAAAACAAAGATCAGAGCTACAAAATGCCTCCTTCTCTTTTCTCATCCTGCTCCCTAGAAAGCAGTACACCAGGGGTCCCCAACGTGGCGCCCGTGGGTACCATGGCACCGGCCAACACCTTTCCTGGTGTCTGCCAAGTGTTTTTGGAAAGTGAGAGGGGCCAGGTGGGGCTTTTGTCTATTAGGGCTTCTGATGGGACACTGGAGATTTGATTGTATGTGCAGCATTTTTAAAAATGTTGCTTTGGCAACAGCTGCCACCATAACGCAAGAATCTTCACTGTGTGACTGAAGGTAATTTGTGGCAGCAATTTTGTGGCTGGCTCAGCCTCCTATGGCAGCTATTTTGTGGCAGTCATTCTGTGGCTGTGCCCACCACACTGTGTCAGAATTCCAAAGGTTGGGGACCCCTGTGGTAAACAATGGATACCAACGAACCTTATAACATACTTGAGGTCATTTGGACACCTACCTTGCATTCCTCATCCAACAAATCCAAAATGCCCAATTTGGCCTCTATCAGGTTAATACAAGGCTGATTATCATAGAAATCTATCAAGGTCCATGGAATTTGTTCCTTCATGTATTCTTCTTGTTCCAGCTTAAAGACATGCTGTGGGGAGGGGGGAGGAAATACAACTGTCATAGCAAGTTCGTTGACTTTGAATTTGCTTCCTCCCTTTGCAATTCATCTGCTACTTTGATCAAACGTACCAATCAAGCCAAATAATTTACTAAGTGGTGAATCAAAGTGGATAAAAGAATCTTCCTCAGTATAACCTGTTCAAAGTAAAAGTTACTTTAAAAGGTTTTTTTAAGTTCACGAACACATAAGATTATAAATCTACGAAAATATACATTAGTTGTTGAATAACAGCATAACAGTCAGAAAGGAACAGCCGACTTGTTCAATAAAATTTAAGGAAAGTATGCAACAGGTAGGAGCTGCGGTGGCTCACGTGGTTAAGACGCTGAGCTGCAGGCTGTGGAAGGTCAGTAGTTCAGCAGTTCAAGATGAAAATATACATTAGTTGTTGAATAACAGCATAACAGTCAGAAAGGAACAGCCGACTTGTTCAATAAAATTTAAGGAAAGTATGCAACCGGATAGAAGGAGAACCTCAAGCAATACCTCCAGCTTTGATGATATTTTCTTTCTGCAAGGAAGCACAGCTTTGCCGTACCCAAGAGGATGCTTTGTAGGCAAGATTCTTTGTACATTAGTCTAGTTTCTTCCCAAGACCTACACCTGAGTTTGTCCTTTGCACCAATTCAGTGCCTGTACAGTCCATACATGCAGTATGGGAAAAACTGAAAAGCTCCACTACACTGAACACTACATGTACTGCTGAAGAGGAAGGATCACCTCCTGCATCCTCTCACCCTAAATCTCCAACAGATCCATAGATGCTCTCTGAAGCAGCAGGCTGGCACCCTTTCCCATGACTGGATCTGCTCATGAGGAGGACTCTGGTCTGTTGCTGCAGTCACCCTACTTGTAAGCAGATTCAGGTAACATTATCAGTGGATCTGCTTCCCCCCCCTCCCCCAGTTGAACCAAAACAGATGAACCAGAAACCAGCTTGTCATTCTTTTGATCTGTTTAAAAAAAAATATTCTCACTATTTTGCATGCTAATTTAACAAGCCACCTATATATACAACCAGTGTTCCCTCTAAGCTGAGTTAGTGTGAGCTAGCTCGCAGGTTTTTAACTTCTGGCTCACACATTTTTGTCTTAGCTCAGGAAGGATGGCTCCAGAGCAAACTAATTTATGCAGCAGCCAAATCTCCTGCTCAATATGTTAATGCCAGTAGCTCACAGGGTAGAATTTTTGCTCACAGAGCGCCATATCTTAGAGGGAACATTGTATACAACTATGATATGTAATTCCATTTCATCATCTGACGAAGTGTGCATGCACATGAAAGCTCATATCTTGAACAAAACTGTTGGTCTTAAAGGTGCCATTGGGCTCTAACTTTGTTTCACTCAAGAAGCATTCTCTTTCCTAATAATTACGCTCTTCTGTCTAGTTCTAGAGTTCTAATTAGGGACAATTCATGCAGACTACACCTTGGAGGTACATCCAAGGAAGCACAGCTGGTGTGGACACACCTTCAACCCAAAGAATCCAGTTAGCAAAATGGGCAGTAGCAGACATGGCTGCTGCTTCTCACTTACCATATTGAATTGTTGCTGCAGTTTCTCATTGGCATAATTTATACAAAATTGTTCAAAGCTGTTGATCTCAAATGTTTCAAAGCTGAAAAAAACAAAGCAGTGAAGTGAATGTCTTGGCAAAGATGCCAGAAAATTACGCTGGCTGCAATACTTCTGGAATTGGAATATTGCTAGTAAGATGAAAGCAGGACCATCAAATGAGTGACAGCAGAGACTACAAATGAGGAGACCATAAAAACAGGGTGCGTATGTGTGTGTGTGCATGCGTGGGAAGGGGGAAGACTGAGAACAAATAAAGGGGTGGCGAAAAAAGTTATTCCAGACTCTAGGCCAGAAATGCCTTCTTATCACCCCAAACCATTTGGGGCTCCACTTGCAGGTTGTCAGATGAACCATTACAGTATTTTTCATCAGCTGACATCATGAATACTGAAGACCAGAGAATCAAGGGACACAGGCTATCAGCTTCTCTGCAGAACTAGATAGACTAAATCTCCATGTTCTTGCCGTCCACTGCAGTGGCAGGTCTGTTAGAGGAAACCCTCCTGGACAACACAGTGACATTCACAACACATGCACCAGTTTTAGCAAACTATAGTCTGAATTTCACGTATGCCTAGACGTCATTTAATGGCTGAATACCTAAACTGACTGCACTGAAAAGGATCCCTGAGATGAGGAATGGCTATGAATATCCCCCCCATAATCAGTAATGGCACATTCACGCATGCAAGCCACCCACTTGATGCTTCAATCAGCCCTGAGGTGCATCACCATGTTGGATCAAGTTATAACTCATACTTGTTTTATTCTTTGGCCTCAAGGGATGACACTCACCCATAGATGTCCAAGACGCCAATGAAAGAGTGCTGCTTCATAGTGGAATGCAGAGCTTTGTTCACATGATCTACGATCCAATTAAAGAGATTCGCATAGATGTGCTTAGCAAGAGCATCTCTGGCATTGATGGCCTGCAGCTTGGAAATTGGCTTGATGTATGTCTCGGTAGCTGTAGCAAGTTTCCGGTGGCAAAGCCAGTGAGCCATCTGTTCATACTCCACCCCCATGAGATCGCAGAAGATTCTGAGGGGTTCATGTTTGGGCTACAATGAGAATCATTTCCTTAGATTTGAAAACTGAAGCAGTTTCTCTGTTAATACTTCCCAGCAGGCAAACTGCACCCTAATTTTCCAATGGGAAGTTGTTTTAGAAACAGCCCATATCTTTGATTTTTTTTTAGAACACAAAAGAAGGGTTAGGTAAAACAAATCATCACTAGAATTCTCCTTGGAACAGCCCCTGTTTTTTAATTCTATCCCCACTCGCCCATGGAAGTGTTGACTTCTCTATTCATCTGAGACTAATCGGGCATCTTGGAACGTAAACTGAATTTCTACACAAGCTCCTGGAGTATCACAAGATTGCCTTCCAATAGCCAAGAGACAACAAAGACTCATTTTTACATCCTGCAAGGTTTTATAAGAACATAAGAGACGCCAATGTTGGATCAGGCCAAAGGGATCCCACGTCCTGATACCAGGTGCCATCAGGAGGTTCACCAGTGGGGCCAGGACATTAGAAGCCCACCCACTGTTGACCCCCCCAAGCACCAAGAAGACAGAGCATCACTTGCCCCAAAGCCCCTATCTATACCTTGTGGCTAATAGCCACTGATGGACCTCTGCTCCATATGCTTATCTAATTCCCTTTTGAAGCCGTCCATGCTTGTAGTCGCCACCACTTCCTGTAGCAGTGAATTCCATGTGTTAATCACTCTTTGGGTGAAGAAGTACTTCCTTTTATCCATTCTAACCCGACCACTCAGCAATTTCATTGAGTGCCCACGAGTTCTTGTATTGTGAGAAAGGAAGAAAAGTACCTCTTTCTCTACCTGCTCTATCCCATGTCTTGACATTTTCAGTGAGTTATCTACTACAACTCCAAGATCTCCCTCTTGATCAGTCTCTGCCAGTTCAGACCCCATCAGTGTGTATTTATATTTCGGATTTTTGGCTCCAATGTGCATCACCTTGCACTTGGCCACATTGAACCCCATTTGCCATGTTGACACCCATTTGCCCATCCTTGACAGATCCCTTTGGAGTGCCTCACAATCCTCACTGGTTTTCACCACCCTGAACAACTTTGTATCATCTGCAAATTTAGCCACTTCACTGCTTACTCCCAACTCCAAATCATTAATGAACAAGTTAAAAAGCAGTGGACCAAGTACTGATCCCTGTGGTACCCCACTGCTTACCACCCTCCACTGAGAAAATTGCCCATTTATACTCACTCTCTGTTTTATAAGAACATAAGAGGTTCTTCCAAACAAGACGCACTGTTCTTCAAAAAAAACATTGTTCTTTTAAAAGAAGTCTGTTGTGAATTGGTATGAAGAAAGTTGGTATGAAGAAATAAAAGAGAAGAAGGTATGAAAAACTAAAAAAGAAGGCATTTGAAAAAAAAAAATTGAGGACACTGCAGGATGAGAGGAGAAGGTTCAAAAGAGTGGAGAAAATGGAAATTGACTGAATCTTTGCAGCACACCTATGGCATACAAACCCAAACATAGTCAGGAAGATATTTATATATGTAAAATTTGTAAACTAATTTGGAACTCACTGGTATTGTACAGCTGTCAGCATCTCGAGATGTGAATGACACATTGCCCAGGTGAAGAATAGCAGCGAGGATTTGAAAAAATCCCATCTGATAGGAATCAACGATACCTAGCAGGGGAGGGAGGATGAATCAAAACTCCTTTTGTAAAGGCAGCAACACAAAGAGTTATAGCTGAAGTAATCTTAACAAACGTAACAAGGAAAACAAATCGCTCTGGCCATTACATCGCAAACCCTGACCTGGACAAACCAGGCTAGCCCGCTCTGGTCAGACCTCAGAAGCTAAGCAGGCTGGTATCAGGATGGGAGACCTTCGAGGAATACCAGGGTCGTGACATGGAGGCAGGAAATGGCAAACCACCTCCGAAAGTCCTTGAAAACCCTTGGGGTCGCCATAAGTCAGCTGTGACTTGACAGCAAAAAAAAAATCATAAAGGGGAAATCATTCATGTCCATCTCTCAGTGCATATAGATCCAGGTGGGCAGCCGTGTTGGTCTGATCTTTCACAATACATATGTTCAGGCGTTCAGCTACTGAACCATCTCCTTAGGAAGGGAATCTAACTCATAGCAGTCAGTGCCATCAGTGCAGTGTTTCTGCTACATATTGTGCAGACTATATAGGTATAGGTTTCCCTTGCTCGAAAGCCAGTCGAATCCAACTCTAGGGGGCGGTGCTCATCTCCATTTCCAAGTCGAAGAGCCAGCGCTGTCAGAAGACTTCTCCGTGATCATGAGGCCAGCGTCACTAAATGCCGAAGTGCACGGAATGCTGTTACCTTCCCACCGAAGCGGTACCTATTTATCTACTTGCAATTTCTTGCTTTTGAACTGCTAGGGTGGCATGAGTTGGGGCCAGAGACGGGAGCTTACTCCGTCACGCAGCACTCGGGTCTCGAACTGGTGAACTATAGACCTTCCGGTCTGCAGCTCAGCGTCTTAACCACTGAGCCACCACGGCCCTAAGAGACTAAGCTGTGTTAATTCAATGGCATTGCCTAAATAACAACTGCACCACCTGACAGAGCACTCAAGTCAGCTGTTCCCCTTCTGGACCAATCCCCATCCAGAAGGCATTATACAGCCCCAGCCTCAGAGCTTGTTTTTTAGTTTCAGCACCTCACCTTTTTGCTAGGCTAAGTTCATGCTCCTCTGGTCAACAGGGCTTTCTGCTACTCTTGTCCTGCTTCTGGCCCCTCTGAATTCTGGGTTGCCACCTGCAGAAGCTGACCTTTCCCTGGCCTAGACTTTGCTACTGGCCTCTGACTCTCTAGGGTCAGGGTCTCCCGACCCCAAGACCCTGACATTTGAGTGCTTGTCACCCATGTACTGTGAGATATGATCTGCTTTTGCATCAGGAGACAGATGTGCCATAAAACATTTAGGACTTCATTAAAGAGAACACCCCCACATGGTTGCTACATCCCATTAGGTGGAACTATAAAAGGTTTAATATATCAGAACTGCCATCCTCCCTGGGAAGCAACATATATCAGAATAATATCAATGGGCAATCACTTATTTAAAAGGTTTAAGAGTCTTTACAAATATAAGCAACTGCATAAATCTATCACGCTTCAATTAACATGCAAAGCTCTGATCATGTTCTCTTATATATAAGTGCCTCTATGAAAAAGTAAGTGTCATAAAGGGACTGTCTTACAGGCTAACAAATCTTTTTTTTTCCCAGTAGAAAAAAAGAAAGCAAGGTGATGCAGAAGAGATTAAGAACAAACCAGCACAACTGACAGAGAGAGGAGACATCAGGACTTCGAGGGCAAACTAACAAAAAACACAGAACACACATAGTTTTGTTTATGGTGATTGCAAGGGGAGACAGATTAGTCTCATTTTGTCCAAGCAGAGGAAAAGAGAAATTCAAACAGGAATGACAAAGATTTCCAATGTGAAAGCAGAAGACTGCCCCCTGATTTTTTAAAAGCCTGGAAGTGTCATCAACTTGATGCTGGGAGGCCTGTGACTGAATCTTTCCAGCATTTTGAAAACCTGCCTCCCAGGGCCCCCAATTCAAGAGCAGCTCACAGAGGAGATGGGGTTTAGCCCTTCTGCACAGTTCTGTTAATCAAAGCACCCCCTCTCACACCCTTCACTGGTAGCCCCAGCATTGCCTGTCTGTTATTTCTTGAAGATTAATAGCACCAAGTGAGAATTTTCTGTTAGTAAAACCATGTGGAGGTGCTCCTTCTCCCAAACCATAGCCCCACCAATCCAGATCGGGACCCTTTTTGAAAAAGACTGAGAAGATCCAATCACAGATGGCCCCCAGTGTTATGTCTCTTTTGAGGGATCTGTGCTGGGTCTCAATCTATCATTCATGATAAGCATGTCAGTGATCGTTGACTTGCATATGCCTCTGACTCCACCTCTCATGCTGTTCCCTGTCCTCCCCCCATTTTGGGGGAGCAGCACTTTGGGCTATGATGGGAGGTGGGAGGCAGAGATGATGCATGCGATCCAACCCCATGTATACATCTTTCTAAAATTAATTTTGTGAAGAATTCATACCAAGACAGTAACTACAGTGCCAAAGGACTCTGAAGGGATGCGCTTCTGAAAATTACCTAGCAAAGTGCAAGCCCGCCGAGTGTTCGTCATCTCTTTGGCATCATCGATCCCGTCGATCACTGGACTGCCCCCTTGCTTTGTATAATGAAAATAGTTTGCGTTCCCTGTTAAAAAACATACATACATACATACCAAGAAGAAAATCACATGCAAATCTGTGAGTGTTAGCCAATAAAGACTGGTAACACAAGATGAGACTTGGAGCCTGATGTAGTCAGAGGAAATGTAAAGTAAGAATTCTTAGGACCCAGTTCCCCCAAGGTCCATGATTCAAATTAAAGCGTAATTAGTAGGAATGTTCTTTGTGAAGATTCAAGGGTCTGAGACTTGGAAGGCAAGCTAAAGCTTGGATGGTGGGCACACGTTTTGCAGGGAGAAGGTCCCAAGTTCAGTCCCTGGCACCTTGAAGTATAAAGGCAGCAAAGCTGAGAGAGAGTGCTGCTTGACACCTTGAAGAACCATTGCCAAAGTTCTGGCCTACAGGAAATATGGTTTGACATATTGTAAGATACCTTATATATGTCCCTATCACTAACGAAACCACCCACTGTGTGGTCAAAGACAGCAACAGTGTATAACACATACAGGGATAAGTTTAATTTCTCCTTACAAAGTACAAGTTCCAGGGCATAACCGCTTTAGAAAAGCAAATTATCTGTAGAAACAGGCGATTCTTTAATAGCCATCACTTCAACACATGTTTTGTTGCACGCCAAGTCACAGAATATAGTAGATACAAACTTCATACCTAATCGCAACGTTTTAAATTCAGGCAATGTTGCAGAAGCACAGAGTTGGTAGAAGATATGGTAATTTCTCTCCTCCTCTGCCTTAAAAAAATGAGGAAATATCTGTCATTTCCATAAAGTCAACAACTTGGTTTGAGCGGTAACTAAAGCAGAGAATGGCAATTGAAGTAAACACGGATTGCATTATGTCTCTACAAGTAATCAACAAATAATCCACCCCAACACAGTCCTCACTTCATTTAAACAACCTGTTTACTCTTTGAGTTTCCTCTGGGAAAAGGTCACTGATGACGAATTAACACATACCGCTTAAGGTCTAAATGAGCATGAAAAACACCTGGGCGGAACACACTAAAGATGAAAGAAAGGGGGCACCCCCTCCAGCATTTCCATATAGTGCACACTGGGGCAATCAAGAACCCCCTCACACTTCCACATTAACTGCATCCTCCTCCCATACAACCATATCCCACAATAAACACTTTGGGTTTCTTCCTTTCTTAAGGAAGAGGTTAAAGATACACACTAATAGGTTACTGATCACATCTCTAGATGTCATTTTCTTTAAACTTAAAAACAAAAGGTGGAGGGGTAAGCCAAGGCAGTGGCCTGGCTCAAGATGAAAGGAGAGAGTGCTCTGGGTAACAACTGTGAGTGACAGCTGCCAGAGCAGTTTCATTTTCTGCTCACTCTACACTCCTTTCTCTACGGTTAGGTAAGCTTCCAAGGGCAGAGTGACATCTCAAACCACATGAAGATAGATCCAGGTGGGGAGCCATGTTGGTCTGAAGCAACAGAATGAAGTTAGAGTCCAGTGACACCTTTAAGACCAACATAGTTTTATTCAAGGTATGAGCTTTTGTATGCATGCATTGTGTTGAAGTGTGCGTGCACACGAAAGCTCATACCTTGGATAATACTTTGTTGGTCCTAAAGGTGCCATTGGACACTAACTTTGTTCTATCTCAGACTACAGTTCGGCAAACTGTGGTTTGCAAAACTGTGATTTGTAGTTACATCTGAACCCAGAAAAGAGAACAGTTTCCTGTTTTTCCCCCCTTTCCTCTAGGCAGGTGTTTGAATGAAAAGCCAAATATTTCAATGCAACTATTATGCAGCATGTTGTCATTTCTCAGAATTGCTAATGAGATGTGCAGTGGCCCATGCATTCATAGCTAAGCTGCTAGACGTCACTGTTACTTCTATCCACTGCCATTATAAAATGTTATCATGCCCCTCTGTAGCTCACCTAGACGTAGCATACTACAGTGACACTCTTT